ACACTTCAGCCTTTCGCTATCCTCACGACTTGCTTCATGTCACCGCGCCTCGTACTCCGCGCGTGTTAGACTTCGCCTCGACCGCTACATCCCCAACGCGACCCGATTCCCCATAACAACGCGCTTTCGTGTTTACGAGGGCTTCCACAACCACCCCTCTAACCCCGGCGCGCGTCGCTGCCTATATACCTTACGAGCAGTAGCTCTTGCTTCTTGCCTCTCGCATCAACACCCTCGCGTCACGAACCCTCGTCGCCGCCATGTTCTATTCGGAGACGCTCCTCCAGAAGAGCGGGCCGCTGGCCCGCGTTTGGTTGTCCGCCAATATTGAGCGCAAGCTTTCAAAGACGCACATTTTGCAGTCCAACCTGCCGGACAGTGTAGAGGCTATCATTACGCCCGGCCAGGCCCCGATGGCCCTTCGTTTAAGTGGCCAGTTGCTGCTTGGTGTTGTCAGAATCTACAATCGCAAAGCCCGTTACCTGCTCGAGGACTGCAATGAGGCCTCGATGAAGATCAAGATGGTGCGCTTCTTGCCTCCCGCCCAGATGTTTGACGCGTTTTACTGACTTCTATAGGCCTTCCGCTCAAGTGACAATCACGATATGGCAGTCGCCAACCTCTACGTCAACAACCGCGAAGCGCTGCTGCTGCCTGACAAAATTACTCCACTAGACAACCTGGATCTTCCACCGCCTCCCGATGCGGCCTGGCTTTTGTCGCAAATGGACGATGTCACAGCTACGCCAGTGGGTCGCAAGGGGCGCGTTAGCCATCGCGACATCAACCTCCAGGAGGATTTCAACAACAGCCAATTTCTCAACCAGGCGGATACCTTCGACGACGAACTGGAGCTTGCGCCTATGGAAGATCTCGATCTTGAACTCGACTTTGGCATGGACATCGATGAGCGACCTACCCGCATGGATACGACTATCGAAATGGGAAGAGACGCGCCTTTGGCTCGCTCAGTCGAGGACGACATCTTCAGCGAGCTCGACATCATGCCGCGAGGCAAGGACCAGACCGAGCGTGAGCCTTCACTGGGTCTGAACCTTGACTTTGGCGACGACACCGTCCGCATCGCTGACGAGGAGGGCGACATCCAAATGGGTGACGACGACTTCCAGTTCCCCATCGGCGATCAATCTGTTATTCCGGGTCTTGCTGGTGGTCCTCTGGATATGCCGCGTGGTCGTATCTCTGAATCACCACTGTCAGAAATTGACCCTGAGTTCGCAAGAGAGGTTGAGGAAGAATACTCCCGTATTCAGCACACAGATCTCTACGAGCCGGATGAGGAGGAGGAGCTCACAGTCATTCGTCATCCTCAACGAGCCAAGAAGAGGAAGGTTCTGTTGCCAGACGAGCAGACGATGCTTTCAAGCACTCACATCAAAGACCAACAAGCCAACCATGCCAACATCCTCAGAGCTCAATCGTTCTTGCCTAGAGATCCGTTCGTCCTGGCTCTCATGGAGATGCAGAAGAGTGGCGGGTTCGTCTCCAACATCATGCTCGACGGCCGCAGTGCCAGTTGGGCACCTGAGCTGAGAGGAATGCTTTCGCTCGAGGCTGTCAGCCGATTCAACGAGTTGAAGAGGAAGAGGGACAGCGGTATCGCTGATGTGGAGAGTGACAACGGTGCCACATCCAAGTCGCCTCGTCTTAACATTGAAGAAGACGACGCGTTCGCCGTCGAAGATGCCGGGCTGGGCAACCAAAGCGTGGCAGCAGATGGCACTGTCCTTGAGATTCCGGCTGAAGAGGAGGGCATCACTTTTGGAGGAGACGACGACAACACTGGCCGACCCGTTTCGCGTGAAGGAAGTCCCATGCCTGACTTTGATGAGACGGCAGCTCCTGCAGTTCACCCTCAGGACAGTGGCCCTGTCTCTATGGGTACCAAGCACGCTGTCCACATCCTCAGAGACATTTTTGGCCCTGAGGCCGAGCACGACGCCGACAAGCGGAAGAAGAACGCTGTCATCTTCCAGGACCTCCTGCCCGAGAACAGAACAACGAAAGCCGATGCCACCAAGATGTTTTTCGAATGCCTCGTTTTGGCCACGAAGGACGCGATCAAGGTCGAGCAGGGCGAGACCCTCGGTGCTCCTATCAAGGTCCGCGCCAAGCGTGGCCTTTGGGGAGCCTGGGCTGAGCGCGAAGCAGGTGGCGAGATCGCCGAGGAGGAGGAGCTCAACCAACCCGAGCCGGCAGCCGTTAGCGCCCCGGCTGTTGCGGTGGAGGCATAGATGATCGCTGCTTGCTCTGACGAAGACCACTCGATTAATGGCATGGCTTTTGGAGGCTTGGCATGTAAAGTAACCGTTCTTTCTCTCTGTTGGACTACGTTTTAGGGTCGGTCCTGGAAATGGCACTCTGCCAAGTGGCGTTTGGAGTAAATTTGGGAGGCTGGAGAGATACCAGATGCTGTTGCGGCCTGGGAGGGTGGGAAAAGCATGATTTGGGTACCCGAGCCGCATCTTCGTCGTTTGGAGTGGCTTGTTGGCTTTTTTTCTCTGCTGGAGTGCTAGTATAGCTTGTTTTGATTGAGGCCATGACGGGCCTGTAAGGATACCTCCGTACCTAGTTAGCTGTTCCCATTGCCAATGAAGCTAGACATTTCAATCACATCCTATCCTGAAGTGAACAGTCGCATGGACTGCATTGTCTTCAAGTGTTATGTAATCTCTGTGCCTCGAGCATGCTGTTCTACTCCTAATGTGTCTTGTTGGACTCCATCACGGACTTGTACAACCTACGTAGGTGCAATAACTAAACGGGCTCTGCTTTTAGTTGAGGCCACCACGCTACTAATAAATGCTCTTGGTAATTGTCGAAGGTGGCGTTGCTCCGTTCAAGACGTATACTATACTCGACTGCCTCTAATGTCCGACGGGGTTGTGGAATGGCCCACATCCATTCGATAGCTGTGGCATATGGATTTCAGCGAGAATCCACGTTCAGTAATAATTATTGAAAATGTAGCGGTTTCGGGTTTCATTGGATTCCTGAAAGTAGGGGAGGGGCGGCGACAATGAAGACGCAATTTCATGGACCAAGGAATCCGGAATTTCTGAGAGATTTGCCTTTTCATCCTCATACAATTTCGTATAGGAGCATTATACATTCATTGTGTCAACTGTCTTGGTTCAGCTGACGCCACACCAACCTCTGGGAGGCGGACCGCAGCATCTCGCTGACCCCGCAAATGGCCTTCGGGAGGACGACATGGAAAAGTCTGCACGCTCAATCGATGAGCGGCTAGGCGATGCAACAGATGCGTGTTTGTGAGTCTCAAGAAGGTATCTAGCCTGCGGTGTGCGTCTTTCCCGCGCCTCCAATGATCTAGAACACCGTTGTGAGGCAGGAGCTCATCAACTTGCCAGCAGGCGGCATGTAAGCCAGAAACATTGTGTAAGTGATGGATTAGGTCTGTTGATACTTCCATTTATCCGCCGAAGCTACTTCGATTACTTCAAGCCATAAGTCAGGTAACTCTGCTGAGTGTTATCAGATTGCCGGATATAATAGTCTATAGATCAACGATGTGAATACTTCATTAACTAGTCAGGAAAGCAATGTTTTGAGCCCTAGCTTTGCCATACTAAGGGTGCCTGGAGGACCTGCGCATTTGATGCGATGCTGACCGTGAAGTGGCTGGTTGAGTTTCCTGCATCCTCCGCCCACGGCTGACTAGAAGTTATCAACAGAAGTAACAGAGACCATCATAACGTTGCTCTACACACAAGAAGTGGCCAAGACACGGCACGTTTGGTTCTGGAGGTAGAACACCCTGTCATTGAAGCAGACGCTTCGGTCAGGATCATGTCAATATACTTTAGTTCATTTGATATGCGGGCGTGTCGATTATTGCTACATGTAAGAAGGACCTCAGAGGTGATTTCGGGTTTCGGCCAGCGAAGTACAAGCGAATAGTGTCCAGATGATTGATTAGCATCATCTATCAAGTTACACAGACTTCCGTTACTGGATAGATGACAACGATGTGCTTCTTCACTGCTTCTCGGCCATGGAAGAGAACTATCGATTACTTACCGATGTGAGTGATCCACGATGTCTGTAGTTGAAGCTCTAATTACGCCAAGTAAAAGACTATCCCAATGGTGAGCGGCAGCCGTCGATTATTCTGGAGGCCATATAGCCGAGGTCCGTAGCTAGATTTCAGCCCTTGAGAATGTATTCCATGGCTGAATATGGGAGAGCTAGACTAACATTTCCACGATAACCTCTTCATGGAGGTCGAATCGAAGACGAACGTCCTCTCGATTGCTCCTTTGTGATACTTGACGGTTTGATGGCCGATGGTTCATTATGATCGACCTACTATCATTGCATAGAGAATCCTATCAGACGCGAGAAGTAGCCTTCGGTTCCGCGCCTGATGACCCCGGGAAAACTGATTTCAGTACTCTGGCAACCCATCCGATGATGAAGTTATTGGCGTCTCCCTCATGCAAACCTTCGGAGCTTTGGTTCTTGTATGATTTTGCGGTGAGCAAAGACGACTTCTCCTTTACATAACTGTGCGTGACGTTGAGTATGACGAATCATTCTCAGCTGCTTGACAGCCAGCCGCTTACCTCTCATACGTATGTGCAATGTAGAAACTGCACAGGTACTTGCAATGTACCCTAGCAGAGATGCTCTATGAGATTGAGATTCGGCGTGAGGATACATACATATGTGTATTTTCGTCAAATTGTGAGAAACGTCCTCAAACTCATTAACTATATTTGAGGCGTAAAGACCAGCCTTCTAGTGCATCGGTGCCTCCCAGACAGACTATTTTGCCAATGCTATCTCCACTCATTACTATGTGATTCGGATCTCATTCCATTCTGCGGCCTCATCAATGTCTGATGGTCCCTACTCTAAAGGCTTCTTGCCCACGATGGAATACCTAGTTAGAAGACATTAGCACATGTGTATCACACATACAGTACACACTAAAACACCCATACGAAAAGAAATACTCACACAAGCCCATAAGCATGAATACTCTCATCCCTCACCTCCCTCTTCACATCCACCAAAAACGCATCAACATCCTCCTTGGACCATCCAAACGCCCTCGTGAACGGCGCCATCGCGAACCCTTCAAGCCCAGCCATAATATTCCGCCCGCTCCACACCCCCAACTCCCTCAACCTTCTCCCTTCCTCCGTGTCCGCCGTTGGCCACCCGTTGGTAGGCCACTTGAACACGCGAACCTCGACGTCCACGAACCCGACCTCCGGATCGCGCATCACGTCGGCCAGCGTGGGGATCTCCTGGTATGGACGGCCCAGCTTCACCGAGGCGTCCTGCAGGAGCGCGCAGTACCGCGCCAGTGCCGAGGTCGTGGGGTCGAGGGTGCCGTCGTCGCTGGAGGGGCCTACGTCGACTTCTTGGAGTTCGAGGTAACCTCCTGGTGTGAGGTTGCTGTTGTGAGAGAGAGTGTGTGAGATGGTCTGAATTTGTAGCCTGGAAGCTGTGTTCCTCTTTTGCACAGTTAAGAGAGGTTTAGGGGAAGACTCAACTCGTAACAATTCTTCAGGTACTCCTTCCAGTCTGCGATGCTGGAGGTCATGAGGCGGCTGTGGATGTAGTCAAACGGCTCGTCAAACACCCACTCCTCTTCAATGTCGTCGATTTCAAAGTCAACGTTTGGCGGTAGGCTAAAGCGAAGGCGTCAGAAAGGCCCAATGCCAAGATGAGTAGGGGGGTTAACTTCAAACTCACAACGTAGGTTGATTAGGAGAAAGATCAATCCCAAGGACCTTGTAATTTGCCAACTGTCATCAGCAAACAACCCCTCCACGACTTTCAGAAGCGTCAAACCAGACTCACCTCAGCCTCGGGATGCTCATCACCAAAATCAATAGCCCAGATCCCCGTCCCCGTCCCAACATCAAGGACCCTACCGGGGACTTCAGCCCCCTTTTGGCACGGCGGTGCGAGGCCGAGCCTGTTGTCAAACGTAAGGAGGAAGACGTTGTGCTGGAGGTCTTACAGTGAGGCTTCAAGTCAGTTTTTCAGACGCATGGGGAAAGGGGGAGGGACGCCGCTTCAAAGGTAGGAGGAAACTGTAGAGCCGATATGCTGTGCCTGTGTCTTGCAGCAGCAGCAGCGCCAACCCAATGCCGGCGGCAAAAGGGAATAGAACAGAAAGACTCACCTAACCTCTCCTGCTCAGCCTGATCGTTTGGAAGAGTGTATTCTGCAATTGTACTGGTCAGGAACGATACCACCACCACCACCACCACCAAAATCTCTAACCCGGACTATCAGGGCCTCCCACTCACTGCCGTCTTTGTACCGATGATATGTCCTCCCGTTCTCCATCCGGTACTCCAATATGGACTCACTCAGACTCAATCCCGACGACGACAAGCCCTGGAGCAAAAAGAACCAGTCCGGCACGGTCAGTCTATCATCTCTGGGGACAAAGATACAGAAGATACATTCAGGGGAAGGAGTGGCGGGGATTGAAGCCGAGGAAAATGAAATCCTCAAGACAGGAAAAAAACAGAGAACTCACAGGGACGTCCTCAGAATGTTCATGTTCGCAAGTGGCGTGACCACATCCCTCGCCATCATCATCATCATCGTCGTCGCCATCGTAAGACTGCTGCCGCCGCCTCGAGGGCTTGCTCAAATCATCGTCCTCATTGTACCCATACTCCTTCATCAACAGCCGCTTCGAGCTCTGGAACAAATGTCCAGGCTTGCCGGCCTCTAGTCCACCAGGCTCTGGGGATTTTGACATCTACAGGGGCAGAAGCAGGGTGTAAGGAGGAACGTCGGTAGCCTGATTTGAACGTCGATAATTCTCAAAAAAATAAATAAATAGTAAAGGTGTAATGAGCTACCGAAATAGAGGAAAGAAGCGCCGCCCAGACTCAATTCGCCAAAGAAAAGCAGAGAAGAAAGTCGCGTCACAAGTCCAAACCAGCTCCTCTCTTCCCTCCATACCCGCAATCCTTCGAAAGTCCGCTCCCCTTGCCCACCCCCTTGGACGCAAACCCTTCTCTCTTCCCTCGTCCCAGGGCCCAGGCAACCCCCCAGGCCACAGTCACACACACAGGGCAAACATTTACGAGCACACCGAACTAGGCACCTAGGCAGGGGGGACAAAAGTTGGAGTAAGAGAAAGGAACCAACAGCATATGCACGTCTGTAAATTGCAACTGTCAAATCGGGAATGTGAAGCGGCGCTGGGCGGAGTAGGAGTGGATCGGCAAGCAGCAGTTGCAGGACTGCAGAGCCCGCCGTGCCCGCTAATCATTTTCCACTTAGGCGCGCTACGGAACGAGACGACCGGGGGGTTGACGAGCCGGGGGGAAGGGTTGTATGCGGGCCCGGGCCGGCCCCCGGGTTAGTGGTTGAAAGGAAAAGGTGACTCTCTTGGGGGTTGACAAGCGCTTGGACGGATGGTAAGCGCTTCAATGACTGTTCGAAGCGAGCTTGCTCGGGCGATTGAGTATGTTGAATCACGATGGTCTACTTGGACTTATGACTGCTGACGGCCGTCATTGATGAAGCGGACATGCACAGTAAGGTGGACGCAGGTAACCCAACTCACTTACCCGACCATCACATACCACTAAATCGAAGTTTGTATCAAAAAGTTTTTGGTATTCATCCACCATGCCAACAGCAAGAAGCCCGATTGAAAGGCTCCCAGCCAGGCAGAACTACCTCAAGCCAGCTGGATTAGTGCTATTCAACCAGCACCCCCCCCCCCCCCCCCCCAGCTTCATCCCCTCAGCCGCTCACTCCCCTGTCATCTTCAACACTGCGTCTCCCACGCAGAGTAACCTCCTCCACACACAGCCCCAAACTCTAAATCATCCGAAACTGGATGACATGGCATCAAAGTACGTCGCCAGCCCGCGGCTCGTCCATCGCCAAGTGAGAAGAACCTTGTCCCGTGGTTGGCCATTTCCACTCGAAGAAGATGCAAAAGAAAGGGCCAAACAAAGAATCTGAAAATGCCGCGCCGATAATGCCACGCCTTGTAAACATGAAAAATGGAAAAGTCCGACAATTTGAAAATTCATCCAAACAGAATCTTGACCGTAGTCATTATACAGCTCCGATTTGCTCCTCGGTCATGAGTTGAAAAAACAGTGGCTCTTTGTATGCCCGAAACTCCAAGTGGCCCCCCCCCCCCCCAAAAACCATGTCTCTTTTTGGTGTTTCCAAACAAACGTCCAGTAGTTTTGCGTGTAAGGGGCAGGGATTAGCCATCCAAAGCACATCTTTATCGGAAACTCAAAGCAACGCCGCCTCGAATGAACTTCTGACTGCATTAGTCTTTAAATAGAAGTCGCCCCCAGTGCAAGGGGCCGTTGGTGCTCTTGGGCAGGTGTGCATATGCTCTTTGCCTTCTGTCGTTATTGTTGTCATTTCGCTCAGACGCCACTCCAGCCGTCCTTTGTCGGCTGGTACGCCTTGTATCCTGGGTAGGTTCCGCCGCTGCTTTGCGGGGGTCGCTGTTCATCTTCGTCCTCCATATGCTGGTTGCCACCGCTCGGGCCGCGGTTGTAGTTGTATTGTTGCGGACGGCTGTAGCCAGACCTGAAGTCAAATCCACCAGAGTCATGCAGGTCCGGAGATGCCATGCTTTGGTCGCCGGTGTAGCTGCGCTGAGGGGCAAGAGGGCGAGTCGACTCCGAAGAGGGTTGACGCGAGTTTGCTCCATACTGCGGACGACCGTAATTCTCATTGAGGAACTGGCCTTGCTGATTTTGCTGGTCAAAGCCATAGTCGTTTTGAGGTGCAGGAGATCGCCGGTAGTCGCTGGGAGGGGGTGGAGGGCCGCGATAACCGCCGGCTTGAGGACCAGGAGAGCGGCGATATCCAGCCGGGGCGGGACTTGGTCCATCGCGAGGTGGTGCTGTGAAGCTTCGGGGTATCGGTGCCGGGCTGGGACCGGTACGGGGAGGACGGCCCATGCCATAGCCTCCCTGCTCGTAGCCGTTGCCGAAGCCCTGATCGAAGTCTTGCTGGGGACGAGGATACGTCTGACCTCTCTGGGGCCCGTAGCCATTGTTGTTGAACTCTTGGTGCGGTGTACCTCTGCCCTGCATCCCCATGCCTCCCGCAGCTGCCATTCCTCCGGCGGCCATGGCCCCATTTCCGTATCCTTGGTCTACGCCGAAAGAAGATTTTGACTGTCCGTACGCGCCATCACTGTAGCCGTTACCCGCCATCTCGTAGGGGCCCGCAGGCTGATTGGCGTTGGTGAAGTAGCCGCTGGGGCCAGCCTGAGGATCCTGGCCATAAGGACTCCTGTCGCCCGGCATGGGGCTGTTCGGGTGGGACATGGCGTTGGGTGCCATGAGAGGCATGTTCTGTCCATTCGGATTCGGTGATGCCGCCGGCTTGTTCAACTGCTCAAGCTCCACCTCCTCCTCGAGCGCCACCTTCTTCGAGCCCGCACCCTCCCAGCTGGGCATTGCGGGGAGTGAATCAGCATCTGCCGGGTTAGCACTTGATTTGTTCATCTCAAATTCGGCATATTGAGGTGGCGCTGCGGCTCCGGTGGCCATCGGTGCTGCTGAATTCGCCTGGTGTGCAGGTGCGGTGCTGGCATTGTTGTAAAAGGGGGCCATGGGCGCCTGAGATTTGTATCCCTGATTGTTCGGTCCATACGAGTCGTCGTCGAGGTGCTTGTGGGGTGTTCCCTTGGGAGTATCGCAGCAACCGCAGCAGTTACCACAGCATTTCAAGCAGTAGCAGCACTGGCAGCAGCACGACAAACCGCAGCAAGCGCACCGGATGATGCACCATAGGATTGAGAAAATGATCAGGCCTCCAAAGATCATGACTGCAATGACGGGCCACCTGCGCAAGTTAGCACGTCGGAGTTTGAGCGAGGCTGTGACCGAAACCTACTTGCAGAAATTAACGGACATGCAATTGTCCCAACTAGACAGCGCCGTCTTCACATCGTTGATCGAGTTTCCGGCGCTCTCTACTGTGTCTGTAATTCCGCGACTCTGAATGTTCGCAGCCATACTTGACACGACCGATCCCCACACTCCTCCCCGGAGGCTCCTCGCCATAGCGACATCGATCGAAGGCATCTTGAATGATTTTTGCTTTTCCTCCAACAAAGAACGTGATTCTCGGTAGATTACCCGCAGTATTTGGGCACGTCGAGCTTGGTTGGTCGAGGATGATTGATGTGCGGGATTAGAAGCGGACTATTGCTCCATCATCTCATGGAGCTCGATGTTTCGTTGTTTGATCGGCTTGAACGGTGATCGGCGGACCGTTGGATGGATAAGGCGAACCGCTTCGTGGTACGAGAGATCGTCGTAGTGCAAGTGTAACGGGAGGCCGGATTTGCGCAAAACGATCTCACGAGAAGCCAAGATGGCAAATGAAAGTGGTAGGCGTGAACTTAAAAAGGTCGAGACTCAAGAGCCGCGAAGGGTAAGAACCGAAATGAATAAGTGCCGCTGTGCTGCCGGTAAATGAATGCAAGTCTTGCTGTCGTCACTGCCTATGGGAGGGCAAAGCGTTCGTCCTCTTGCGAGGGTGGGCTGGTGAACGTGTGGTAGGGGACGTGTAGCGAATGGTAGCGGCGAACGAGCAAAAAGCCCAGAGGCTTTCGTCTCAAAATGGCACTGAAACTGGGCGGTGCAAGTCAGCAAGCACCACAACGTCCAACAGGATGACCCCGAAAAGTAGGCGATCCGTGGCCAACAGGTTGGGTGTCTTGGTCTTATTGCTTGGTGACGCTGCTGGGTGCGAGTATTGAGAAAAGGGGTGGGTCGCAATTCGTGTCCAAGCTGTCGAGACACGGTTATCCCAGGTAGGATGGAGGCTGTAGCTGAGGGGGGGTCCTTTTCGTGAGATGTGTTGAGGATAAATAAATCCCGGAGTGGCGGCGAGAGGCGGAGTATTCGTACGGGTTTAAGGAATGACTTGAGCTGGAATTCTGCTCTTCGGCTTCGCGAAGAGAATAAAAAAAGGGTAAGAATGAGAGACACGAGGAGCACCGTCAAACAGCCTCGGGAAATGGCCAAGGAGATGGGACGGATGGAAAAAGGAGCGAAACGGCACAGGACGCAGTCTGCCGGGTTGTCGGAGGAATATGCACCTCGGGAGGTTGTCAAGAAAGAGAGTGACGAGAGGCCGCCGTAGATGAGATGAAGAAGAGGATTTGTTTCCCTTCCATTGACCAAAAGGTCAGAAGAGCAGCAAAAAGAGAGGAGGATTTGCAACGAAGTGTGGGAAAAGGAAGAAGGAAGGGGAAAAGATTGACGTGACGCACACAGAGTTACTTTCCCGGGAAAGCCACGAAGGACGATCAAAAGTGGCAGTGGTCACTGGTGGGAACTTCACTGGGAAGGGAAACATTAGCAGCTTACATGCTCCCTGAGGTACCTAAGAGAGAGCGAAAGCGCGACGGGGACGTACGCCGCGACCTGAGCACAGGGAGATCCATGATTTCCAGAGGGAAATTTGAATTGCGATCGAGCGCCATGCCACGCTCTAGCGGATTGAATATCCCTGCTCAGACGAACTTGAGTGGGGGAAGCGGTTCCTGACTTCCCGTTCCCCCACCCCCTTCTGCTTTGCTTTTGCTGCGACCTGTTCAGTTGCAATGCTGCGTACGGAGTATGTAGGCGCTGCTTCGCATTCTCTTTTCTGCCTGCAACGCCAACGTCCGTGTCCACTTCCACCTCAACTCCAAAACGGCTGTCTGGCAAGTCCCTTGTAATCGCGCGAGTGCCGTTTTTCCCTCAAAAAGTTGAGAATCAGGGGGGGGGGGTGTTCCGGCTCGGAGATGATTTTGGATTCGTCGACCACAATCTTGATTGCGCCGATGAGCCGTCCCCCCTCCCCCGGCCGTTAAGTGAGGTACAAACTTAAGTAAGGCAAGGCATTCTTAGTTAGCGAGTATTCACTTGCAGGAAGTTGCAGCATATCTGTCTGCCGCCGCGTGCCCACGCACCCACGCAGACCGAAACCACCTGCACCAACCGTATTGAAAACGAGACAAACTGGGGACCGAGGGACCGCCAGTAGCAGCATGCAGAGTCAACATGATGAAACATGGTGTTCTTTTCGTCCTCAGGCACATACACAGCACATTACGACTTGGCATTGGCCAAAGCGTCTTCTGGGTCGTGTGAGTCCAACAACCCCCGTGCCCCCGTGACCCCTGCCTTCCTTCCCTCGCGTTCGGCTATGACGGGAACACGTAAAAATGCCAATTGGTGATTTCCAGCCACACCACCTACTTGCTCAGCCACAGACACTCGCCACATTGACCATGCGTGTGATTCATTCATCGACTCGGCCGAGAGGACGGCAGAGCCCCCCCGGGCCTTGTCGGGACACTGCAGATTCGATACGGCCAGGTATCTTGGACGGGACAGGCATCTCGGAGACAAAACCCCCTTCATGTCTTAGAAATCCCCATCCTCACCGCTTCAAAATGAACATCAGGATCTAGCTAAATGACTAGAGAATCCTACCGACCAGTCCATCGCTACTCTTCCATGCTTCTAGGAGTTTCGCAGGATCGAAGACGAACGGACGTAGGCGCACGCGATGGCGTAGAATCGTAATATCACTGTTCCGAGTAGCTCACCTTCGTCAGAGGAGCCAGAACCCGCACGTCCCCATAAGACCGTCTGGACGTCTAGAAGGGAAGGAAGGGTAATTGAATTCATAGCTGCAGCCCAGTCAGTCCAGTGCAGGGCTCGTCTGATGTAGGAAGCTAAGCTAGCAACCTGACCTGTGCGATAACATAGACCCAACGACCTTTCCATAGACTGGTTGACATGTTCAAGTTATGTGGCTTTTCTTGCCAGGACTGGTCGCGCTGAATCAGAACGTCGTATGGTGTTGTATTGTCAACTTGATCCAGGTCGAGCCTCTGAGGTAAGTGTAAGCATATGTCTCATATACGGGGTACTTGTTCATCACCAAGCTTCACAAGTCTGGGTCCCGCACATAAGCATCGGTAATGTTAAAATTTACTATGGAATAATAGTCCCGAGTCTTCTTAGCCTTTTATTTAGACTAGGCTCAACCCCAAATCCGACGTCATCATACAACATTCCCTATTCGTTCCTCCTCCAATGGCCCCTATCGTCGTAAAGTCCATCCAAAGAAAACCTGCTAACGCCTAACCGGGGTGTTTCGCAATCAAGGTATCATCTGTGTGTTCGCAAGTCGTCGTACTCATAGCAGTCAAAGAAGTTTCACGCCTCTCCGCCTCGAACCCTTCCCCGCCTCAGAAAACCCCACCATCATCTTCATCCCGTCTACTTTCCGGGCGGCGGACCAGCAGGCGGCGCGTACGAATCGCGCTGGTAGGCGTTCTGAGGCTGCTGCAGGTGAATACCCTCGTTGTGGCCGCCGTAGTATCCATCATTAGGGTTGAACGTGGTGCCGGTGTATTGAGGTTGCTGCTGCGCCTGTCCGTAGGCCGGCGGCGGGTTCTGGTAGGTTCCGCCCGGTTGGGGGTAGCCCGCATACCCTTGCTGCTGACCATTGTACGGCTGGTTGTAGGCGTAGGTGCCCTGCTGATTGTGCTTGTTGTTGTTGTTGTTGCTCATCCATCCGGTGCCGTAGAAGGGCTGGACGCCGCGCTTTCTGCGACGGCGAGAGTTCATGCAGCTATTTGGATCAAATGTTAGCCATGACGATCGAGTGCAATAGGAGGTCGTGCCGTGAGACGGGAAATAGCACTGGGGGGTTACCCTAACAAGATGAGGATCAGGAGTGCGATGCCGACGACGACGGCGGCGAGGACCCAGCGTCCCCACCAGTACCATGCGCCGCGCTCATAGCATGCTCCGTTTCTGTAAATTTGGCCGGAGGTACAGATTTCGTTGTAATATTGTCTGCAGGATTGACGTTAGCGTCCGGAGGGCATCGCCGGGGGCTGGTTGATGTATGCAGGGTCTTGCAGATCCATTTGGGATGGCATGCAGTGATGGGGAGGGGGAAAGGGCTTACCTCTTGTCGAGTGTGTCGACGGGATAGGGCAGGATGTGAAAGTCGCCTGCAGAGTCCGCCATCTTGATGGCTGTGATGTTGTCCCTAGATGGGAAGGTGGTTCTTTGCGACCGTCGATGTAGGTGAGGAAGAGGTTGGATCTTAGTAGGTCGAACTTGCTGTCGAACCGTTGCTGGACAGGATTATGGTGCGGCGGACAAAAAAACAGACGAGATGTAAAAGGCAGAAAGAGCTGTCCGAGGGGAAGCTTCGTCCGACTATTGTATTTCTTGTCTGTGCTTTAGACCGAAGGCGACAACCCAACAGCTCACTTTTGCGTGGCGTTTGCTATGCTTCTCGTTGGCGGGGAGGGAAGATGGTGAGTGATGTTCAATGACGTGATGGCTTTTTTTGACGTCCTGTCCGTATACGGGCGAGATCCGGTGTAGTCGGGAGCTGGAGAGAGGCCCTCGGTGGTGCAAGTGCTGTGCACAAAAATTAAGGTGAGTTGTACCTGTGGAGGATAGGTAACGTCGGAAGATTTGGCTGGGAGGACTGCAGCCTACTTAGAGTGTAATGCGAGACAATCAAGGTTTGTATTAATCAAATGAGAATTTTGGAGGGTTCTGTTATGTATCCGTATCCGCAAGGTAAGGCAGGCAACAGTGAAGCGCCAAAAGAGAGAGTCAAGACGTTTAGGTTTTTGATTAGGTACAAGGTTGATTGATGCCAAAGGCGTCTTGAGAAAGAAAAAAAAAATCAGACGGGGGTTAAGAGGAAGAGGAGGGGGGAAAGAGGGATCCAAGTTATATTTCGCCCGACGGCGTGATGAAGAAAGCCAAGCAAACCGTCGCCAGACAAAAGCGACGTCTTGGAGGCTGGGCAGTCACTTGGCCCCAAAGCCATTGCGTGGCCTCCCTCCTCTGCCCAGACTTGCACACTTGGTCCCCCGGCGAAGCTTCCAGTGATGCCCACACCTTCCTCAGATGGTACGGAATACTTGCATTATACTTCCCATTGTCAGCACTCAGCAGCCAAAGTCCCCTTCAACCACCTTTACCGCCGAGTCACCGGCATCTCAAGGGAATGGAATGAATGGGGCCCCCCGTCCGGTTAGTTTCCCCTCCGTTCCCTCCGATGTTTTGTTTGGACGGCATGCTTTTTCGTCTGTATCTACCTTACCTTAGGTATCCCTCTCGCGCAGACAGACACTCACCAGCATCACCAAGAAGCCAACGGTCCTCCTCCAAGACACGAACCCATCAAAGCCCCATGCAAGATACGGATACCAGCCGCGGATCCTCTCCTCTTCCTCAGGCCATCAAGGGCCCAGAACTTAGTTCACCCAGTCCCAAACTATCACCAACCCATTACGTCGCCCGACAATAGTTCCCATCGGGGTTCCGGCATCGAAAATGGCTGTGCTCGCCTTTTTCACTTTTTCGCCTTCTCGCCAGCCAGAGTTCCTCTAGAGACCGAACGAATCGCAAGAGAGACTCACACCGTTTCGGTAAACGAAGGAGCAGAAGAACCTGAGCAAAAAGAAAGAATGGGGCTTCCAGGGCGGCGCCTGACATCACCGGCACGAGCGAGGCTTGGCCGTCTCCATTCGTTTGCGCGCATCCTCTCACCCAACAGTGTGTACATTTGGCCGCGGGCCCATCAACCGCATCCTCCTCCCAAGGGTTCCTCGTCCACCTGTGGCGATGCCACGGTAGCGTGACCTCCCCAACCGAGATACCTGAAGTGAGGTGAATAGCCTTTCCTCCTCTCGCGAGCTTATTCAAACCGTTTCCACAAAACATATCCTCTTATTTGTCATTTCTTCGTTGTTTACTCATTCGTACCTAAGGAGTCATCCTGTCATCCAATTCACAGTCGCCTCCCCCGGCTTACCTCAGTACCTTGGCACTGTGGCTCCCCTCAACATCCGTTTGCGCCTTCCCTCGCAAAGCCTGTTAATGACCCGGCCTCACCAGCGGCGACATACCGGGGGGTGGATCCGGGCAAAGGAAGCTGAACTCACGCCGCAGCAGACCGATATCTTCCGGTCGCGATCTACTTCAAGGTAAGGTACCTTACATCTCGAACCACAGGGAGAACAGACTTCAAGGTGTTCCTCTACTTTCAGCTGGCGTGTCCTCCCTCGCTCATCCTCACCCCATGCGCACCACTGCCAAACACAACCTTAAAACCCGGTGACCCGCGACCCGCGAATCCCGGATGTTCTGGAAGAGACGGGAGAGCTGTAAGGTAGACAGTACTACGTGGAGGCACTGCCGCACTGAGGGCTGCTGACGCTGAGGTGGTGCGGCCGCTCTCCCCACCTCGCTCTGCCCAGAGCCGCAAACAGCGTCTCTCTTGAACTTCTTCATTAGATGCTCGATGTGGACTTATCCGAGATCTTGAGCAACCTCCTTCTGTTGAGACTTCCCTCTGGAATAGGGCAACGAATGCACTGTAATCCCTCGACACAACCGGCTAGATGGCAAAAAAATTAAAATTTCAACGGTCACGCCGCGGGCCATCAGCTCGGTGCAGAATGCCACTTATGGTCCCCAATATCTCACACAGTAAACTCGACCCGATCCGACTAACTGCTCCGCGCCCATCGCCAAAAACTGGTTGCAAAACAATTGGGCACAACTCTGCTAGGTCAATCGGCCAGATTTGCCGCGCACTTGGGACGGTCCCAAAACCCCTTCCTCCGTTCCGTCACCTGAAAGTTTCCGCGACACTCCGGTGACACCTCCCGGCCTTGGCGACAAACTGACCCGCCTTCTCTTATTTTCTGCGTGGTCCCGACTGTGAAATCTGCGATACGACAATATCTTGGGATAGATTATCGCTCGTCAAAGTTTCGGGGAAATTCTGTAGGATTCCAAGGTCTGCTATGGACATCAAAACGTGTAGTCTCTCTACGGACATACGGACCCCAGCGCTGGTCACCATTGAGGGCATGATTCCAGCAAACGCTGTGAAACACAACCGGTCGACGAATAAACGGAACCCCGGATTCGCCTCCGGACTCGGCCCTGGCTCTCGCGCCTTGCCCATGTGATCCCTGGCCTTTTCCCCAGTCCTCCAATAGACAGATGAAGAACGAGGAGCAAAAATGCGTCGTGACCTGATGGCATTCCCAAGTGACGACTGCTGGCCGCAAAACAAAACAGAAACCGCAAAACATATGCTCAGCATCCAACTGAGTACCTCTCGTGACCCGTAACACCGATTCGTCGTGACTTTTAGTATCCCTCATGCCGGACTTTGTCGAAAATAACCAGATCGAGTCCACCCCCAAACGCCGTACCGCCGCTTATGTTTAAGAAAGTATGCGTGTACTTGAAAGAACCCCTCGCTTATTTCGGGAACGTAAACCGAGACGTAATCTTCTCGGGCTCCTTCTTGCCAGGCGTTGCCGTCGACTGCTGCTGCCGTGCCGCGAGGTCGGCAATCTTCTCCCGGGCCTTCATGAGGCTGCTGTTGTCCTGCTGCTTGAGCTTCGCGCGGATCTCGTACAGCGCCATAAGGGTTGATGCGCGATCCATATCGTCTTCGACCTATTCAGCACCCATCATGTAAGCTCTCTGTCCCGTCCCAGGCTGTTGTTGATTCTGTGAGGTGGTGGTGCTTCGTACATCTGAATCTCTCTTGGGAGTGCCTGGGATGGAGCCCTGGGCCGAGTTGGAGCGCGACAGGGCGGGCGGGCTCATCATAATGCGACGGCCAAACTTGTCGACGCGGGCAGGCGAAGCGGTGCCAGTACCTGTCCGCGAGGTCTGGGAGCTGTGAGTGTGGACGCGGCGGAGTTCATCGGTGGGCCGCTTGGGCAGTCCGGCGGCGGCGGGGTTGGCGCTTGTCTTCTCAACGGTCTGGATGGCCTTGTTTGCAGTGACGAGGGCGGCTGCCGCGTTTGGTTCCTGTGGTGGAATGAGGTCATCAGCACTTTTGCAGAGGGCAAATGATCGAGTTGCTAAAAAGTTTGTTGCGGATCTTCTTCCTTCCCAAGAGCCCCTGCAGCCGCCGAAGCGCCCAGCGTAGCGCATCGCAGGGGGGGTTACATGGGCAAGTCAGAGAATGCGACCGGGACAAGAGTCGAGGATGGACAGAAGATGGGGGAAACAAACGGTTGCATTGAGGCTGCTCAGGTCGGCGAGCATCTGCGCCAGCTGGAGGCTCTCCATGGCGACTTTTGGCGTGGGTGTGCGGATTCTCGTTGGTGGTGGTCTCGTGTCGTGTCGTGTCGTGTAGTGTAGTGTAGTGCGTAGGATGGAGAATGCTGTCAATTAACAATGCAGTGTTGATTAACGGGCTGGAAGTGGATGCAGGCAGTTAGCAGTGAATTTGGCCGAGAGAGAGTGAAAGTGGGTGGATCTGGGCAGGGAATGGACATGGAGCATAGAGCATAGAACCCACCGACGCTGTCATTGCAGGCCAGGCTAAGGTAAGGAGACTTTTGACTTTGTAAGGCCAGGTACCACTGGCCACAAGTGCCTTACAGTAAGGCTCTTTGTGTCGGGTCTGTGAGAGATGTCAGAGGTGGGGGAGGAGGGACAGAGCGGAGGGTGCGTGAGCTGGTGTTAAGGGATGCGCTGTTCTGTGTTTGTGTGTGTGGGTGTTTTTGCTGAGGTGTGATGATGAATAGGAGAAGGGTAAGGATACCTACCTACGGGGATATGGGGAAAGATCAAAGACATCAACGTCTACCCCGCCGGAGACAAGGTAAAAAGAAAAGATCCAAGTGGCAGATGGCAGATGGTTAGCAGGAAAGTGTCTTTATTGGGCCTTTTCTTCACCATTGGATCCGGTGCTGTGGTCTGTCACTCTCAACTCTGTCTCCTTGTCTCCTCAGGCTTCAAGTCGATGATCAAATCCACGAAAGCGAGAAGGAAGGAAGCGGGGTGAGAGACACAGGGCACCTTCCCCCACACTGGGCCAATTCAGCCACATTGAGCAACCCCAGGCCCTTCTCTGTCCCCGCTGTCTCCTGGCCACTTATGCGACTGCTGGAACATCTGTCGCCTTCTCTCCCCGACCGGTTGGGCAGGAAGTGTCTCCCCCGAAGCTTCAAGTCGATCCCGTCCAATCGAGTCCAAGTTCAATCTCATCCAGTTCCCAGAATGCCAGATCTCGCGTGCATTGGACTGCTCTCTGCACCGACCGATGCGAGCTCTCCAGTCCATCCAGAGCTGCGGCCCTCCCCCCCTCTTCTTATGCAAGCTGGAGCTTCAATGGTGGCCGCCGATTGACGCATCCGTCCTCCGAATCGCCTTGACCAGATTGGCAAGCCTCCGTGCCTAGTGCCGGCACCTCTCCCGACGCACCCAACTTTCCGACCTGTACAGAATCTGACTAAGCATCCTCGAGTCGCCCAGGCCTTCGTTCCCCGGTTATTCGGAGAATCCGACACTGACTCCGGCATCGCTTCGGCATCGTTTCCGAAGCTCGTTATCAACCTCACGCCCTCTCATAGACCAACAGACCTTGGCTCTTACAAAAATTGTAACTCAAGGAGACGTAAAACACAACCGTCAAGATGTCCATGGTTTTCAGACGCTCAATGGCTACCGCCGCCTCGTTGAAGAGGGCCGGTAAGGTTATGTGCATTGGCCGCAACTATGCGTGAGTGATTCGTCAACTGCCCCCCGAGTCACATGGAGATGCAGGCAGTAAGAAGAGAAGACATCACTTATGACCATTTCATAGCGACCACGTGAAGGAGCTCAACAACACCCGCCCCAAGCAGCCCTTCTTCTTCCTCAAGCCCACCTCCTCCATCCTCCTCCCTGGAGCTGGCCCGGTCCTGAGGCCCAAGGGCGTCGACATGCACTACGAGGTCGAGCTTGCCATCGTTCTCGGCAAGCAGGTCAAGGACCTCAAGGCCGATGACCACAAGGGCGCCATCGACGCCATTGAGGGTTCGTCTCACTCACTGGGGACATGGTTCCCCCCTCTCACCCTCACAAGCACTGACACCAAGCCAGCCTACGCCCTCGCCATCGACATGACGGCACGCAACAACCAAAACGAGGCCAAGAAGAAGGGCCTCCCCTGGTCCATCGCCAAGGGCTTCGACACCTTTTTGCCCATGAGCGACATCATTAAGAAATCCGCCATTCCCGATCCCCACGACATTGAGCTCTTCCTCAAGGTCAACGACGTCGTCAAGCAGCAAGGCTCCACCAACCTCATGCTCTTCCAGATTCCCCGCATCCTGAGCGACATCTCCAAGGTCATGACCCTCGAGGCCGGCGACATTGTTCTGACCGGAACCCCCGCCGGTGTCGGTCCGGCCGTGCCCGGTGACGTGATCCGCGCCGGTCTCCGTGTTGGCGGCAAGGAGCTGGCCGAGGCCAAGATTGAGGTTGCTGTTGAGGAGTCTCCTAGCTCGTACGAGTTTGCTGAGACGTGAGTTGCGGTTGATGAGCATTTCATAGGTCGCACATCTTCAGAAGGATTTGAGCGATTTATCTGCAATTTTTACGGGAAAGTCATGCTAGGTCTCATATAAGGAAAGGGGCCGAGGTGTAAAGTCTCAGTCTGGATCATCTGGATCACTTGTACTTTTAAACCATATAGACCGTCTGCTCGCCTTCGCCTACAACAAATACCCAAACCTGAAAAGAAGAACACACCGCACTGTCTCTCTGGAACTTATTGAAAGTGAAGCACATCACTCCAAGTTAGGATCCTTAATCGACCCAGGCTTCGGCGCCGCCTCAGCAACAACCCCACACGTCTTACACGTCCGCGCCCCCTCATCAGCCTTGAACGCCTCAACAGCAGCCTTGATCTGCGTGCCGAGATCGGTGCAGTGGAAGGCCGCCTCGTGGACGACGTCACGGCACGACTCGCAGTACCAGCGCATGCGGTCGAGGGACCCCTCGGGCCGTCGCTGCTCGAGGACGACGCCGACCGTGTCGGCGAAGCGGACGGGGTTGTGCGGGGTGTTGCCCGGCAGCAGGAACATGTCGCCCTCGCGGATGATGACGTCCTTGAAGACGCCTTCGTCGACGACTTTGAGCATCATGGCGCCCTTGTACTGGTAGAACCATTCGGGGGTCTGGTTGATGTGGTAGTCTGTTCGGGCGTTGGGGCCGCCGACGATCTAGGTTGGCGTTAGATGAGATTCAGGGTCGGAGTCAAGTGTTTGGGGATGAGTTGTGTTTTGCGGGGGGTGGCTTACCATGACGGTGAAGTCCTCATTGTAGACGCAGTAGTTGTTGATTGGGGGTTTGAGGAGGTGGGAGTTTTCCTCTAGCCTGGTTGCGTGAGAGAGACGTTAATATGGTTTGAGCCTCATTGTGAATAGCCTCATAATTGCATTCTAAACAGGCTAACATAGGTTGAGTTGGAGACTCACCACTTGGGCAGGTTGACAGGGGGTCCAAGCATGATGGTTGCTTGTCGTGTCGTGAGTCACTTGAGTCGCAGGCGAGTTTGTTTCGTGTTTTATGGAAAACTCTTCTTTGTAAAACTCCGCTGTCAACGATTCACTTATTGCGGGTTGCTGAAGTTGACGTTGAAGATGAAATAGGGTGGTAGGCCAGGTATGTATGTAATGGTGTAGATAGGTTGAATGTCCCCTCCTTCTCTTCCGTGGCGAATGAGATATTTAGGCTTTGGATGACTACTACAACTCGTTGAATGAGGCGTCTTCCCGTACGCTGCATTTATCAGCCGCCAGAGCTCTCATTCCGGACGGGCCCGTCGGCGCATCGGCGGAGCCACTGGAGAGAAGTTGCGGGCCGCTCACAGTCCCAATTCCTTATGGCGGGTAAAGACTGACAATCCGGTACTGAAAGAAGTCGCAATGCGGATACAAAAGTAGACATGCGAATAGATATCAACTCATTCTCATCGCTGACAAACTGTAACGTTGAAGTCCGGAATCACTCTTTGTAGTTAGTACAGCACGAGCTCTAGAAAGCGATTAACCGGCACAGTTAGCCGTAGATGGGCGGTTGGTAATAGTAGGTCATAGACTGAAGACTCCGAGCAACCGAGAGGGAGCGGCGACAACGACCCCTCCCCCTCTCACTAGAAACAACCCCGCCATACCAACACGTCTCGTCCAGCGCCCACTTACCCCTCGGTTGTGGGTGGGCCCACTTACCTCGTAAGTCGTCCCTTACTTACTCGGGGACAAAACCTATAATAGCGGTTTTATTTAGTTATACATATTTTTAAATTTAATGTAAGAGAAATTGATATATATAAGGTTTATATATATTAGACCTTTATAGTCAAAGATAAGTTAAATTACATTTTTAATATAATAAAATTAATATTATTAGTTATAGATAAAACCGGTATTATAGGTTTTGTCCCCGAGTAAGTAAGGAACGCCACTTACGAGGCCCTACTTTGTTGGGCCGAGGAGTACCCGCCTCGCTGGTTGTCGATCTTACAATCCACCCCCCGGGACGACGGCGTCTCGCAGCATCAGTGCATCACCACCTTACAAAGCTGCATGCGCCGCTTCAAGAGGTCCAGGCTTGGGCAGAATGGAAGAAAAAAAAGAGACATTTCGGACGAGTCAACGCCCTAGCCACCGCGACGGCTCTTACATGCCTTTCCCAGCATCCCGCCCCTCTGTCTCTTCAATCTCTACTACTAGGTATACCGTACGGATACCTACGTTTACAGCCCCTCGAGTCTCACGAGGACAAGCTATCTCGCCTTAGCCCAGCACGTCAGCTTCCCCCGTTTGGTTTAGTTTTGACTCAAGTGTCTTTGTTGTATTCGTCCACGGACAGCTCGCTACCGACCTCTTCCCTACACCGACACAGCAGCGCAAGCGTGCTAAAGGTTCTGGAAGGTAAGGTTGGCTGGTAGTTGATAGTTAGAGACGCAGCGCAAGAAGGGAACACCCTGTCTCAGAGGCTGGGAACCTGCGCACATTTGAGCGAGTTTCCATCTCATCCCCCAAGCCACGGGCCGCCACCCCTTCTTCAGCCTTAGTCGTGAACTTGCAGAATAGCTTTGTACATGTTCTCCGGTAAAACATTACTTTACAATAGACGACGACATATCTTTCCCATCCTCCAGCAATTTTCACCGTTTTCCTACCCGGCAATCATCAACCGAAATCGTCGCTAGCTCCCGCTTCTACAACGCTGAACGATAACCTCTACCTACCACCAGGGTAGGTACCACCCCCGCGAAACCCGCAACCGTTTGTCCAACCTGGAACCGACAACCCCCCCGGTCCCGCATATCCCACTGACCGACCGACCGACCGACCACGCACTGGGCAGACGCAACCTCTCCTTCTCAACAACAATCACCCATCTTGAAACCGTACCGAACGAAGCACGCAGTATCCCAACCTACGTGCAAGAAATTACCATATCGACCTTTTGACAACGAAAAACTCCCACGAGAACCACCCCCGAACAACCTACAACATGGACCACGCGCACATGGATCACTCAAAGATGGACCACTCCGCCATGGACCACGGCGACATGGGAGGTCACGGAATGACAGGCGGCATGGGCGACCGGTGCAGCATGAATGTACGTTGCTTCACATACCTTACAACCATACCTACGCACGCCATGTGCTCCCCTCTACCTCGTCCCCTCGAATTGCTCGCGAAATCCCCTCGCGGGCGGTCACTCTAAGATCTTCGCAAGCCGTAGAGCTCCTCTCTCCTCCTCCCGCAATCCGCTCCCTCGCGGAAGCTCCATGTCACAGATGAAAGCCACAGCTCAAAGCTAACCCGCGCTTCCCTCTTCCAGATGCTCTTCACCTGGGAAACCAAGAACCTCTGCATCGTCTTCCGCCAGTGGCACGTCCGCTCCACCGGCGGCCTCGTCATCTCGCTCCTCCTCGTCGTCGCACTCGCCGCAGGCTACGAAGCCCTCCGCGCCGCATCCCGCCGTTACGAGAACTCTGTGAATAAGCGCGTCGACTCGCTCCCGAGTAAGCACTCTCTTCTCTCCTGGCCGCTGCCATCACATACATATACCTACATCACACGCTTCCTCTGTATACCAAACATTTGCCTTGCATCCATGATCATACACCCCATACTTCCCATCTTCCACACACACCAAAACACACACTACCTTGAAAGCTGCGCTTCCCTACCATGCGCCCCTCTTCACGATCGACGTAGAGGGGCCCTCGGGCGAGTCGCATACATCCCCCACTCCCCCCTTCGCATCAAAACGTGATACCGAACACAAATGAGCTAAGAAGTCTTGTGTCTTTCGAGGCGTCGCTGGAACCGTTACTGAGACAACCCCCTTCCTATGGACAGGACGCGAACAGGCAGAGGCCAGCAGGAGCGCACACCTCGTCAAGGCCGCCCTCTACGCCGCGCAGAACTTTTACGCCTTTATGCTCATGTGAGTACTACCGTCCATCCCTCTCCTCTGTTTTGCCGAAGTTGCAAAGTCCCCCCTTCCCAGTATTGGTTTGCTACGAGATTGCGAATGCGCAAGGGGGAGGGGTCAAAGAGAGATCCGCTCGGTATGATGTAGGGAGAAGCGAACTGACGGAGAAACAGGCTCGTTTTCATGACGTACAATGGCTGGGTCATGGTCGCCGTCGCCATCGGCGCATTCGTGGGATACGCCGCCTTCGGAAGCTCAACTTCCTCGACCAAGGACAATGCGTGCCATTGATAGCTGGCACCCCCCGCGTTCGCGCAAGGTCTCAAATTAGGCCTCAACAACCATAGACATGCTTTGCATTTCCCTGCACAATAGCTTATTTTTGGACATCAATGGTGGAGGGGCGTATCTTACCACACGGGCGTTTTAGTCAATCTTGATTTGGTCTTTTTGATAGCATTAGCTTCCGACTCCCCACAGGCCGAACACAGGCGGCGGCGGTTGAGTCTGGCAAAGACAAAGAGAACCTCCCCTCGAATAAGGGGGTCAGGACTCGGAATACACATCATATGCGAAAGCAAATATTCATTCATCATGGCGGCTGCGGCTGCTCTAGCTGCAGCTGCAGACTCTATATATGTGATTTCTACATCTCGAGGGCAGGTGATGCATATAACAACCCCCAAAATCCAGGTTCTTCAACGTTACAAGCCCGAAGAAATCGTGAATCCCATCGTTGGATCTCGGTCAACCTACGTGCATGTCTTTACATCTTCGCAGGCTCCGCCTTCTCCCCCCTCCCATCCCCTTCAGTCGAACCCGTCGTCGTACTCGTCGTAGTCTCATCCCTCTTCCTCTTCTTCTCAACCAAACTCCCCTCCCTCTCCGCCTGCAAAATAATCTCCTCATCGCCAAAGTGCTCATTACACTCAAACTCGGGATCCTTCCCATACGCGATCCGCGCACAGTCGACGAGCATATGCGCCGTCAGACCCCATACTTTAAACCGCCCGCCACCCTCTTTATCCTTTTCCTCTTCGAGCTTCTCGGCAAGGTTACTCTGCGGATGGTCCACCTCCATCGCGTTCCCCGGCGTCGTGACGCGCTGGTCGTCTACGGGGACATAAAAGTTGTGAACGCGCCAGGGGTGCTCTTTCCATTGGATCCAGCTGCCGTCGTACCAGTGGCCCGGCGGGAGGACCTTGGACGACGATGAGGGGAGGTCTGCGTCCCTGGACCGGAGGAAGTTCTGAAAGGGCGCGGAGAAGACGGCTGCGACTTCCTTGGCGTCCAGACGCGGGATCATGCGCTCCTCGACGAGCGGGCTCGGGTCGTCTTCGTCCGGGTCCTCGTCGGCGTGGAGGAAGGCGACGCAGGGACGGACGACGAGTTCTGTGCGGGCGAGGTTGTAGGGGAGGTAGCAGAGGGGTTCGATCTTGAATGGTTTCGGGATGCGGGCGTCGTCCATGGGTAGGCCGATTTCCTCCCACGCTTCTCTTCTTGCGATTTCGTCTGTTGCGGGCGAGGAGAGTTTGGTGGTCAGCTATGCAGTTTCGCACTTTTTCTTGATGGCGTGGGTGGACCGTTGGGAATCATGACTTACATGGTGTTTCTTGCAGCGTGTCCGCCTTGCCTCCCGGGAACGCGGCGTGCCCGGAGAAGCTACGCAGGCTGGCTGCGCGCATCGTGATGACGACGCGCAAGTCCCCCCTGCGGTCGGCGTAGAGTAGAATCAAAACGGCCGCTCGGCGGCTCACTGGGAGTCGGTCCCAGAGTGGGAACGCGGGCGGTACATATCGTCTGAGGCGCGCGATGGCCGCCTTGGAGCGCATCAGCATCCTATTCGCGCAGAGATACATGGCCGGTTGAGGTGTCTTATGTACTGGATCGATAACTACAACAAAAGGAAAGGAAAAACAGAACGCAACAATACACAACAGGCGGGTGGGAGAAGACGCAAGAAAGGAGAGGAAGGGCCGAGAGGTATCAAGTCATGAGTTCATGGGGTGATACAGCGCTTGATATGCGGCGACATGGTGATGGGCAATAACACAGAACAGGAGGGGGGTGACAGGGCGTGAGAATATAGCTTCACTTTGGGGGAGCATAATACATGAATGGTGATAGGCTGAGATACACACGATACAGAGCGAGATCGGGCATGACTGCAACGCTGCATCTAGGTCGCATCTACCCCAACAGCAATCTACATAGACCACCTAGATGGAGCGAACAGAATCGAGAAAATCAACTAACCGCAGAGACTGAGTTGAGGGGAGCCATGGCTCCAGCATCCCAGTAGCTCGTAACCTCTTCGTCGTCGTCGAGGATCAGGATACCCTCTGGGTTGGGGTTACCGTTGTCGTTGTTGTTGTTGTCGTCGTTCGTCTCGCTAGTAGCAGCAGTAGTGGTGGCGGATATACCTTTGGGCGCGGCACCCGACGAACTCGCAGATGCAGAGGCAGCGGTAGTAGTGATACTAGCGGCGGCGGCCGGATCCTTGGCGGCAGCGGCTGCTGCGAGCGTGGTGGTGATCTCGTGGACCTCCTGATCCGTCGGTGGCGTGGCCTCGTCTAGCTGCTGCTGATGCTGCAGGGCTGGCGACGCCGTCGCGGTGGTGGTTGTCGTTGTAGTGTTACTGGCGTTTGTTCCCGCTGCGTCTTCGGAGAAGGACGGAGGAGAGGTTGGGGCCGGCGAGGGGTCCGTCGCGGCCGCTTGGCTCATTTCTCGGTCTTATCTATCTGACTGGGGGTGGGGGAAGGGGAGAAGAGGTGCAAGTTTGTAATTCTATCTGCGCGCCTATGGATCGAATGGGATGAGAATAGAAAGGGGAGTAGGTAGGTGAGAGGAAGGGGATATGGGATATTGGGGTAAGCGTGTGAGTGTGAGTGTGGATGGGAGCTCCGGTTAGAGGTCCGGACGAAGGATGACCGACACGAGGAAGCGAGGTCCAGGGAAGAATGCGGCGTTCAAGCGTTCAGCGGTCGTGCGCGGGGGACTCAAGGATGGAGGAGGAGGGGGGGGGGCGGCGCGCGTGTTCTTGCCTAGAAGGTCACGGACGTGAGACGTGGTTGGAGGAGGGTGTATGACGGAGTGCTGCTGGTTGCTTATCCAAGCCAAGGCAAGGTCTTTCGGATTGTGTAAGTAGGTATTGTGGTTGGAGAAAGGAGGAGAAAAACCGAGGGCCCAGAACGATCAGCTTGCTGCGAACATGTCTTGGGGGAAGTTGTTGGAAAAGGCGCCGAGCCGAATTGCGGGGGTGGGGTTAGTTAAGATATCCCGAAAAGCCAAGTAGCCGGGGCAGTAGGTATGGAAAATGCCCGACATGGAAAAAATCAGTCATCAGGTAGAAACTGGAGTCAAACCAGAGATCTTTTCCAGATCGAATTAATAGGATATCACTTCTGCCTGAAGGCTACCATGTTGATTACTCTCATTGGGCCGGCAAGCTAAGGTATTTGATGAGGTACCGGAAGGAAGATACAACCAAATGTCACCGGGTACCTTATAACTCCCAGGTACGTCTCGGCGGGTCTCTGACCTGAAGCTCGGCAGGCCGCGGCCCGGCGAACACGGAGGCCCCGCGGAGCTTGCCATAGACCAAACCTAAGTTGTACTCCGTGATTGGCCCAGAGCGACGTCTTACATGGGAATGCGGTACCCCTTCCCGCTATTACTTATCAGTCACTTTATCAGAGGTGGGGGAGGAGCTGTTCACGTCATACGGCTTTGGGCGCATTCAGACTTTGGCTTTGCATCGGCCGGATTCATCTGCATTTACTGTGTAGTAGGTAGTAGAGATTATCTTTTTTCATTCCCTATAGATTGCTCTTGGTAGGAATGTCTATCTTGGTAGTCATCTGGACTTTTGCCAGGTTTCATGGGTTGGCAGATACGTAACACGTACACTCTCCAAAACAACGACAATCGCTTCTACGCTTTTCAAAAGGACGGACAGGCAGGTAGACCAGTGAACGGTCTAGACGCCTCCCTCCATGACAGACAAACAACGCTAAACACACAAACGCCGAGACATGACACCATTCCAAGTCTTCTGGTCCAAACCAGCTGTTCCCTCCTTGATGCGGAGCGAGATGGTTCGCATCCCAAGGTACCTTCCCCAGCGTGCTAAGCAGCGCGGGCAGTCCGCGCCCCGAAACGCCACGCCGGCGCCGTCCCATAGTGCCCGGCTTGCGCTACTCGAGCGTGCTACCCTCCGGTATCACCCGGATGCTCTGCCGAAGATTCTCTCGCCGTCGCTCGTCCTTCGTCAGGACCATCGAGTTCGCTGTCCTCTTGAACTGAGCCGCTAGGCTCTGCATCGAACGCCGACTGCTCATCCTCTTCAGTCCAGGATGCGTAGGTGAATCGGGAACCGGGGTAGCTGCGGCGCTGCGAGCTTCCGACGTCGGCGGCAGGTCGGTCGCGGGCACGCCCTCCGAAACCACCCTCCTGTGCTCGCCGCTCCATCTGAAAACGCGCGACAGTGCGTCCGAGTACTTGACCCGCAGACGATCGTCGTCCATTGAGTGTGCGTGCATATCTGGGTGAAGCGACTTCAGAGACTGCTTACCCACGGTAGAGCCCGTCCCAGGGCCCAACGATGACGGTGACTGGGGTGTCGTGTTGATACCCGTAGGTGGCCGCTTCCTACCTGATTGAAGCACCTTGGCCGCGAAGCTCAGCCTGTTCTTTGGCGGCCGGATAGAGCTCCGCCCCGACTCCATGCTATCTCGTGAAGATCCCGCAGCCTTCTTCGCCGAGTTCGCAATCGACGTCGCCGTCGCATGATAGAGGTCCTTGGCCCCCACGTAACTGACTTCCATATGGTTATTTCGCCGTGCGGGAAGCGTCTCGAAGTGGTGCATACCAGGCGATCTCAAGCATCCAATCTCAGAGTCCCGACGACGCGGGCTCGTTTCGTCAAAGTCCAATATCTCTACCCGAGGCGGTACCGGAGACGCGGGTATCCACGACGGATTATTCCTCCGCGAACTGGGACTAAAGTCCCATTCACTGCTATCCGGTTCCGAGTCGTCATCGTAGTCGTCGATTAAGCTAAGAGTCCGAGCCGGCTCCGAACTCGATGCCGGCTTCTCTGAGCTAGGCTTCTCTGAGCTAGGCTTCTCTGTGCTGTGAACACTGCTAGACTTGTCGGGTGTCGCTGGCATCAGTGTTTTCGAGACCAACGATGAGCGAGGTGGGCGGGTGGGCGTTGGAGTGAAGCCATCAAAGTCAACATTCAGTCCAGTTATTTGTTTGATCTTGGCCGATGATCGATGAAGAGTACAAGGGCTTGTTATTGGTGTAGAGAGACGCCGAACAACTAATTTCCTGATTTCAGGTTCGGGCCGGCGGCTCTGAGGCGAGCAACTCCTATGCTCTGATCTTGGTGATATAGGTGATAAAGGAGTCGGACTGTGCTGAATCAAGATTGTGCTGATCTCATTCTCCAATCTCTCTATTGTCTCGGATCTCTCAATGGGCTCCAACCTCGAAGGAGACGGTGACGGTGTTGTCCTAGCACGACTTCGCGACCTCGAAGAATTTCTTTCGGTCGACTTTGTTTCGATGGACACAGCTGAAGTGACTGACATGGCCGACATGACAGAAAAGGCCGAAACTTGGCGATAAAATCTTGGGCGAAGAGGAGGCAGCGGCGGGAGAGGTTTCTTGTCGTAAGTGCCTCTCGGCTGCTGCGGAGGCAGCTCGCCTCCCGGCGGTATAGCAATCTCCAGCCCAGGTGGAAGCTGGCTGGGAATGATTCGAGGCTCCATGATGGTGGACATTTCGAAGAAGCGGCGGGTTTCGTCGATGTGGTGTGGCAAGAAGGAAGACAAAACAGAAAAGTGTCGCCTAGGACGAAATCCGGGATTCTGGCGCAATATGTCCCATGCCACTGGTAGCCACCGGTTCGAATGACAAAGCTGATGACCAAGACACTTTGATCGGATGCGGCGAGACGATTTTCTAGAAGTGAACTCGAAGTTCTTTGTCGGATTTGTTGACTGAATCGGGAATGGCTAGCTTCGAGCCAATGACTCTGTTGACAAAGAAGATTTATATGCAATGTACAGGCCAAGCGGTATCTATCAGCCTCCGTCAGGTAAGGCCGCTTCGGTTCCAGTCCAGAAAGTCGCAGTGTTTAGAAACGTGCTCTTCCCATGACATGATGTGGGCGGGAAACAGAATTTCAAAGAAGATTGTTCTCGAGGAGGGGGGGGGCGGATCACTGTTTTCATATTAGAAGCAGACAAAGCCCCTCAGGCGCCCGCCATCCAAATCGGATATTGCCATGCTGGACGTTGTTTGCCAACCAGATTGAGCCACCTTTACGCCATCCAATGAACTCAATTGGTGGCCACACCCATCCCGTTACCTTCTAAAATCAGTTTGCTTGTTTGTTCGTGTTTCCCCATGGTAAAGGATGTCGTTATTCATCAAGAACTGCCCCCAGGTCTTGTCCTTGCAAGTTGTTGGATCGCAGGGCTGACGCAGTGATTATCCTGCTTCCTGTGCCACCCCTGGCTTCCCACCTGATGAACCAGTTGCCCCATATTAGTAGACGCGGGACGGTAGGATCATGAGTCTAATCGACTTTGACAGGCGCAGAACAAGGGTTCTTCGGTGAGCAAGTTTGGCGTATTATTGGAGGATCCGCCGCCATGGATGCTTGGCTGGTATATCAAGGCTCGGGTAGTACTAGCTTCATCAACCGTCGAGAGACACTCAGTCATAGTAACCGTGAGCCATGAACACGGACAAAGAAGCCAAGGAAACTGTTGCGCCGCGTGCTGTGCGACAAACACGCTACTCTTCGCTCTGAAGGAGCGCCTCAACATTGGAAACTGGCAAGCCGTACTGTCTTGGGTCGACGTGAGTGCATGGCGATGAGTGGCATACATCGCAGCATAAAGCCGAACGTCCGTCTTCTTCACCTGGAATCCCGCAGTGGCATTATGCCGTGAAATCGAATTTTCCAGATGCGCATCCACGACGTTGGTAACGAAGGTAGGCAAAGTTGCGCCCGCGGGCCTTCTTCAAACCCCTCTACCATCACCATGGCTCCAGCTGGATAATGTCAGTCAACGATTTGGATAAGGGAATCTCGGCCTCCCCCGCCGACCTCGCCGAACTTTGCAACCAAGTGAAGATGAATCTGCCAAGATAAACCCGTGGGGCTTCGTTAGTGACGAGCCGCTTTTCCCGGGACGAAGGCGATCTTGGAGATCTTCCGATGGCCTTCTGAGACATGGGGACTGAATCACCGTCTCCCACTTAGCCCCATGGGCCTAACTGAACATTCGTCTGCACATGCTGTTTTATACTGTTATTGAAAGACCTCCAGAGCTCGGCCGTTGGAACTTGGAAGAACCGTTTGAAGGGCTGTATCCTGAATGCATCCGGCGTAAGAGATTGCAAATGGCCTGACAAAACCACTGATTTGGTAGATGTTTCCGCGTCATTCAACCGCAAACGGAACGAGATGTTGCGAACCCCTCGTTCTACAGAGCATGGGCGGGCCGCTGCTTTCCTGTGTGACGTTGTCTTTGGAATCCATTTCTGGTGCCGGTCTTAACCCCGTAGACCGGAGAGAGATAGAGGTTTCTATATTTGGCAGTTTTTCAACGAGTTTATCCCATTTCCGACGTTGAGAACATGACTGTCCGATGTGGTGCCTCGAAGATCTTCATCACATGAGTAAACCCATCTGCGGGCTGCTACCGACCAATCTGTGAGCCTCAGTGGAGTGCAGGCGTGTTCTCGGTCAAACACTGCAATGAGACAACGCAAGAGCCGTCTCACACCCAAATAGTGAAGCTTTTATGAAGAAGTCTTTGAGGCGGAGCGTGATCACTTGGCAGGTGCCATGAAGAAGTGGCGCATCAATTCTCCCTGACAGGACGTGCTTCGTGACGGGCCGCGGCCGGGTAACAAAGTCTCGAAGATGCACCAGAGGGCAAGACAAGCGATGGGCCGTACCCCATAGCTCCTCACCATAGATCGGTCCCAATTATTGACGTGTTGAAGGTGAGCAAGATTCATCCCACCGGTGCAAAGACGAAGTCGGAGAGACATCTTCGAGGTGCAGAAGCCTAGCCCACAGTGGTCCAGCCCTAGCTAGTCGGTCGAGATTTCCCAAAACGAAAGACCTAGGCAAGAAGAGAGATCCTTCTAGACCAGAGAAAATCCGTGTGCCCAGATGGGGCAAGAGATGATGGATTGTCGGATGCCGGACTTCGGTGCCTGGAGTGACATTCTGTCCAGAAGGATGGCAGGAGGATCGCAACAAAATGCTGCTAGCTCAACCTCCTTTTTCGAAATCAATCTAAGCCTTTAATCCTCATGCAGGTTCGTGCGAAGGGCTGACATTCCGCAGTTAACTCAAGCACTGGCCCGTCCCGGCAAGTGGGAGCCAATGCCATCCCATCTTGCGTCTCGATGGCGTGCAGACCATCGTAGAGCTAGTCAAGGGGCTGTTCCCCCATGCTGCTCTCTCTCCCTTAACAGCACCAGCGGTCTAGAAGGCGCCGGCCCAGAATCGAGCTCAGGACCTGATTTTGCTTGTCTCTGGCGCGCGTCAGCTCTAGCAGCTGGCTTCTTTAGATCCAGCTCGAATAAGTAATAATTAGCACGTGTATGTGTTGTTGGAGGTCAATGTTGGAGAAGGCAGCGAGCTGTAGCCTGGCATTCCGTGTTGCACCGCGCTTTCGTGAATAGCGTAGTCGTATGTCTTATTCCTTTAGCCCAGCTGCTTGAACTACTCGCCCGGGGTAAAACCTACTGAACACCATCGCAAAACTTTCTTTCTGCATTCCTCTCATATTTGTCTGTCTTTCTCGTTGTTTGTGTTTGAAGATAGGCTCATGTAGCCGTCCCCCAGTGCGATGATCCGCCGATATGTAAGTCCGCGGCGACGGCCGTCGCGTTTTCGACTTCCCATCTGGCTTTGGCTCCTACTCGCGTTAGGTGTGATGGAGTCTATACTTCATTGCAGAACCTTCAATGCGCCACGGCCAACCGACGAGCAAGATCAGCCCTTCTACACATCTTGTCGCGAACCGGATGTGACCGGCAAACGTGAGAATGGAGTTCTGGTGATGCTGGCGAAGAACTCCGAGCTCAAGGAAGCCAACCATACAGTCGCCTCGCTTGAAAAGCACTTCAATCGTTGGTTCCACTACCCGATCCTCTTCCTCAACGACGAGCCATTCGACGACCGTTTTATCGAGGCGTTGAACAGTACAGCAAGCGGAGGGGCGACATTTGAAGTGATCCCGCAGGAAGACTGGACGTACCCCGCCTGGGTCAACCAAACAGCCGCGAAGAGCAGTATCGTTGAGCAAGGGGCGCGGGGCACCATGCATGCAGGCCAGGAAGGTTATCACCACATGTGCCGTTTCTATTCGGGGTCAGTCATAATCTCCTAACGATCAGATTAAGCTTCTGGAGCGCCGCGTACTAACTTCGAAACCTGCAGGAGTTTCTACCATCTCGAAGCCCTGCGAAAGTACAAATGGTACTGGAGACTAGAACCCGATGTCGATTTCCTCTGCTCGATTACGTACGATCCGTTTGTGGAGATGGCCCGGCGTAAGAAGGTGTACGGCTTCACAATTTCCTTGTGGGAAGAATGGGACACGGTGCCGTCGCTCTTTCGACACACGGCCGAGTTCAAAGAGGCGTTCGATCTGGCGTCGTCGGCATTGTGGAAAGCCATGATGGAGCCCTCATGGCTTCCATATCCGCTGCGGCCGCTGATGAGCCTGCTGCCACACCGCGATCAATCTGGCGACGCCTGGAGCGGCTGCCATTATTGGAGCAATTTCGAGATAGCAGATCTCGACTTCTTCCGGGGAAAGCGGTACCAGGCTTTTTTCAAGGCCCTTGATGATGTGGGAGGCTTCTATTTCGAAAGGGTGAGTGAATCCTCGATGGTCTTTACATTTGGTATTCTGTGGCCGGCAAAGATTTGGACTTCGGTAAGAAGTCTGGGAGTTGAAGAAGTTGAAGGATGTCGTTGGAGAATTGGAATGACAAGGAAGCCAAGCTTTTGCCTTCCTTCTCCACCGTCAGCTTCGATGCTCCTTCCTCCAAGACCTGCCCAGTCGCATCTTGTCCAACCATATCCTTTCCCCCTGAGCTCAAACCCTTGGCAGCCTGAAGCAGATCACTAACCGGGATTTTGTGTTGCATTTAGTGGGGTGACGCCGCTGTACACTCGCTGGCTGTCGGCATGCTTCTCGACGCCGACAAAGTGCATCATTTTGAGGATTTCGGATACAGGCACGATGAGCTTTTCCAATGCCCGGCCAATGCACCCGACGGGCAGTTACCTGAGTCTCAGGCGCTTGGGAACGCGTCGTCATACTCGACACCGATTGATGGAGGAATTGGGTGCCGATGTGAATGCGACGGCAAAGTGAGGAGGAATCACAATGGGTACTGCCTCAATAAGCTGAAAGAGCCCAACACTGCGCAGCGACCATGGTTTTCTTGGACATTGTGACGTGAGTTGGAAGGGAAAGATGGTCGCGCGCATGTAGAGACACACAGAAGTATACCCATGTTTTGTTAGAGTACATAGAAGAACGATTCGTTGATACAGAAATCTAAGCCCAGGTCAAGGGATCCTATTCAGATCCGCACCCATCTAGACCAATAACTCCAGGCACCTATAGTCGCACACGTACATTACAAGGTCTATCTCATCAAGGACGCTGGCGTAGCTCCTAGTCTTCATCAGAGTCATACTTGCCTTGGTAGTCCCCCAGCAAGATATCGTCCACCGCAAGCCCCGACGTGTTGTTCCGCAGCCACTCTGTTTCAACCCGGAAGAATATCCATACCCAGCGTCTGAATACCTCGAGGGACTGCAACAAGAAGATGGAGCTCTCAAAGTCGGTAAACTTGTCCAAGTGCGCGTTCAGCTTAAGCGACCAGGTACACCGCAGCATCAAGTCCATCCCAATCACGCCGTAGTAGATAACAGGCTGCTGGAAAACAAGACGTCGGCGAAGTCCGAAGGGATGTTCCGGGTTGTTGCGCTCCCGCGCCGACGAGAATAGCGTCAGGTCCCAATCCTTGGCAACATCCCAGTACCACGAGTAGAGGGAGTTCACCAGCACTGCCACCAGCCATGCTCTGTTCAAACCAGGTGCTGGCTGATCAGCCGGAACGCTTCGCTGTAGTGCGCTGAAGATGATAACGGGGAAGGCCGTGGCGTATTTGGTGGCGTTGGCCAGGTGCTGACCGCCCCAACCGACTGACTCCTTGTAAGGCGCTCTTGCGACTCGGAAATATTCAATGATGCACTGCCTGAATCGTATGGCGAACGGCACTGCCATGATGAGCGGCACGATCACTGTTCCTCCGCAGTTCCGGTCTGGTCGCGCGGTCGAAGACCCGGACGGCGTGAAGAACATGCACAGCACCACGTAGAGATCCCCTAGGATCTTGGAGTAGCTTGTCAACACATCGGCGAGCAGGATGTCCCCGAATTTTCCATCCTTGGCTTCTGCTATGCCTCCGATGCTGACGCGTCGCAGCGTAGCGAGGAATCGTGATCGCCCGCCCTGCGAAAAGTTGCGGATCGGGACGAAGAAGAGGGCCGCAAGGGCGACCAGGTAGGTCATCGGTAGCCAGTCATATTCGAGTACGAGGGCGGGGGTTCGACGGGAGAAGACCCAGAATGTTAATATCGAAAGTAAGAAAACCGTCGAAAGTACGGTCGCGAGGCGGTACGTCGAGAGGTGATGCGCCGGTTGTGTCGGAGAGGATCGCGAGGGATATCGAATCAGGGAGGGCACATCGATCTTGACTTTGTGCAGGTAGTGGAGGTTGACACCCCAGCCCCAGACGGCTATGACATAGTCAGCAAGTCGGTTCCATCCGCGCGCAATGGCGACATACCGAGAACAATGATGAACCCTATGCGATAGGGTAGGGGAAAGGTCAAGCTAAACGAGTCGAGCTGCGACTCAACCTTGGGATCACCGTCCATGCTTGTTGGTGGAGGGGGAAAGAGGCATCGAGTAAAGAAAAGGAAAGGCGGACTCTATGGAGCCAAATTTGAGTGCAAAGGAGTGAACGAGAATACAAAGAAGATTCATAAAAACTAAAATCTGAGTCGCTCAAGACGTGTCGCAAAGCCTCGAGGTCGACTTGGAAATGAGGATAGTTTGTCCCGTACTATTCAGGAGGTAAATTGTCCTGTACGCCTTACCTTATCGTTATCAATCGGTCGGGTGGTCTGTGTCCCAGGGACCTTACGTACCACTACTACTGGGGCTACAATGACGTCTGGAGTAACTTTAGGTAACGGTGTTGAGATAGGTACGATCAATTTCTAGGGAACACGCAACAAACACCCCGTCTCGCTACCTATTCTACGTGGCCATCAGATTTTGAAGTTACATTTTCATGATACGTGAACATGATGGTTGAAGTCGTGAGAGAGTAAGTCTCGACTGCCTAATACGATACCTTCAAAGTGGCACAGCCAACCTAGGGAAGCTCAGGCAGCTCCAACTCCCGCTAATAAACCCCCGCCAGTCGAGATTGATTCACGAAGGGAGGTTCTTGAGACAGCTATACTGAAGAGAATAAAGACTCATCAATGCTATTACACAGACACAAATCTACATGCAGTGTTGCAATTCTGAGTGATTAAACCCCCTAACACAAGTCATAGGTAGCATCCTCACATCCCGCTCCTTTCTTTACCTCGGCTTCCTCAGATATGTGCCCAAAAACGCAGTCTAACGTGGATGTTTCTATCACTGAGGCAATGCTAGAAGTCGATGAGGGTAATTTCATCCATTTCACTCGCATGCTACAGCATACGTAGCGAGACTTAACTCTGAGGGTTGAATCATGCTTCTGTGGAGGTCGCTGCTTCCGCTGGAACTTGTGCTGGAGGCGCGGCGTCTTCCTGTTCCGGTCTGCGCCCAGTGAGGAAGTATCTACAAGGCGCTGTCAGCGACGGCCCGGTACACAACGGAATCTTCAGAAAGAAAAGAATAGCACTTACATCGGCCAGTAGCCATGAACGTTTCGATCCTTGATGTCCTTTCGTACTCCCATGAGGAAGACGTTAACCTCATCACGGGACCAATCGTGACCACGGGTCAATGCAGCCATAGAGAAGCCCTCGAGACCCGAAAGCAGGTTCTCGCAGTTCCAAATGCCAATTTCCTTCCACTTAGGGTCCTTGGGCCATGGATTGATCGGCCACTTGGTCCTAGTCATCTGGACATCGACGAAGCCAGCCTCAGCCATGAGCCCTTTCAGCGAAGGGATATCGGGGAAGGGGCGTCCCAGCTTCTCTGAGCCCTCCTTGAGCAAGTCAGCCCACTTTTGAAGGTCAGAATCGGGCTTAAGGGTTCCATCGTCGGAGGTCGGGTACAGGTCGATCTCCTGCACTTCAATCCATCCTCCTGGCTCGAGATTGCTATGAGTCGCTTCACGTTAGTTTGTCTACTCATCGATCCGGCCTTCAGATGCCATAATCAGGGATGTTACGCCTACTTGTAGCAGTTCTTCAGATACTTCTTCCAGTCTCTGATGCCTTGAGTAATGACCCTGCTGTGGATGTATTGGAAAGGCCGTGAGTATGTCCAAGGGTCTTCGGCATCGTTGACCTCGAACTTGACGTTGGGCGGAACGCTGCGATTCGAATGTCAGTCCATCTCTCGCACGACTAGTCTGTGATTGTCTTAGGTGTTCAGGTGGAATAGAAACGTACTAAGTAGGCATTGTCGGAGAGAGATCGATAGCGAGGACCTACAAAATGCTTCATTTAGTCTTCACTCTGATTTGAAAGAAGCGGAAGTGATAGAAAGCTTTAGCATTGGGCTCAAATGAGGGTGAACACTTACCTCGGCCTCAGGGTGCTCATCACCGAAGTCGAGGGCCCAAATTCCACTACCCGTGCCTATGTCGAGCACTCTACCGACCTTGGAACCTTCTTCACATGGCGGAGCAATACCGAGCTGATTATCAGTCACCAGAAGCCACATAGAATGGACCAGATCTAGTCGTATCGTTAGTAGGGAAAACAGGGGTAAGGACCTCAAGGCTCATAAGTACCCAGTCTCTCTAGCTCCCTTTCATCATTGGGAAAGAGGTAAGCTATTTCAATGTTAGAAGTGCTGTATGATGAATTACATCTTGGGAAAACAAGTTACCTCCATCTTTGTACTGGTGGTACGTTCTGCCGTTCTCGATTCTGTACTCGAGGATCGACTCGCGAAGGCTGGTACTTGAAGAAGCAAAGCTCTATGCATGGGACATAAGCGAGGTGCGATGACCCAGAGACACCTTCCTCCCAACATAAGACTCACACTTCCGTCTGCCGATCGGGCGTCACTCTAAGTTCAATATTTGAATCAGCTATCCAGTGCAGCATAACGCTTTACGGCTACACTGTTACCTCTTGATCCGCCACGATCTCAACGTGCTGATTGTCTTGCGACATGTTCGGAGTATTTGTCGGGTTACCGTCTCAGTAATCCTTGCTACACGTGAAGAAGGGCGCCGTACCAACAGGAGATGATGGGGAAAGGGACAACAAAACCAACACTGGCCCGGGGCGGTAGCTGTTTTTGTGGTTGACCGCGGCACTACCAACGGAGCCCGCCCCTCTTCTTGGCGATGCAGACAACAGAAGCAACGAACCAACATCCATGGGCGCCTCCACCCAAATTCATGTCATTGTAACTGTGATTACAAGTTAGGTATGGCTGATTGTGATTAGGGGGGCAATGCAACAGGGGATGGTAACCTGCCTAGACTGTAACGGTACAGCGATGATAAGTCATTATTACTGCTGCTAACCTTGCCTCTTGGGTGGGCAATAGAAAAGCTTGTTTTTCTTGATGCAACAAGTCATCGAAATGCAGTGCCAATGCGAGGCCTTAAGTAAAGTTGTCTTTGGTATCAAAAGGCAGTGAACTTGAGGGGGTTTTAACTTTGGTTTTGTGGGCAATTTTGAGCTATTCACGGGAGGGACCGTTCCCCCGCCACTAACCAAAGCGAATTTTTCACTAGTTCCTGAGGTGGGCGTCACATCGTTCAACTCGACATGATATCATTGAAGCCAGTCTAGTTCCTCCGCCGTCTGCTTTGCAGTGTTGCTCTCGACATTACATAGCTAAGCCGCAGTCTGGCTCTGAGCCGGAGCTAGACTTGGAACCGAAGTCGGGCTTGTAGCGGAAGCTAAATTCTCAGCTGGAGCCGAAGCTTCAGCCGGAGGGGAAGATGAAGTCTCAGCCGGTGCCGGAGTCTGAGCCGGAGGGGAGGCAGCGGCTTCAGGGGACAGGGGAGCCGGGGGAGCCGGGCTGTACTCCCTCTCTGGTTTACGCCCGATGATGAAGTACCTGTACTATGTCAGTCCAACACGTTTCTCGGCCTGACTTCTTCACTACTCGAAGTACTTACGCTGGCCACCATGCGTGGATGGTTCTATCCTTGATGTTGTTGCGTACATCAATAAGGAAGACGTTGACTTCATCGCGCGTCCAATCCAGGGCACGCGTCAAAGCCGCCATTGTAAAGCCCTCGAGACCGCGAGAGACATTCTCGCCGTGCCAGGAGCCGATTTCTTTGTATTTCCCATTTTTCGGCCAAGTGTTGGTAGGCCACTTGTACAGATCCAACGACACGTCCACGAAGCCTACCTCTGTGAGAAGGTCCTTCAATGGCGGAACTTCAACATAAGGGCGACCGAACTTCTCTGATGCCTCGAGGAGTAGATCACACCACTTGATCAGAGAATGCTCATGCGTGAGAGTTCCGTCGTCTGATCGCGGATAGAGATCGAACTCCTGTAACTCAATCCATCCGCCAGGCTCAAGATTGCTTTATCCACCAAGTCAGCGCGATGTCCATGTTTGAGGCAATTCTTCCCCAACTAGAGTGACTGATATGTCAAGATATAGAACTCACTCGTAACAACGTTGCAAATACAGCTTCCAGTCACCGATACTGGAAGTCATGACTCGGCTATGGATGTAGGAAAAGGGCCGGGTCCATGTCCACTCTTCCTCAGCATCGTCGACTTCAAATTTGCAATTTGGGGGCACGCTGTGACGATGGAATCTGTCAGGAAATTGTATCTCGTAATCACGCCTTTATGAAGGCAACTCACTAGCCAGGAAGGGTCGCCGACAGGTCAATGCCGTACACCTATTGAGCCGCCGAAGTCAGACGATGTACATTTCATGTCAAGAAGTGCACCAAGAGACGGAACGACTTTTGCCGCGTGACGAGGTGGGCCTACATCGCAGACTTACTTCAGCTTCAGGGTGCTCATCAGCAAAGTTGAGGGCCCAAATGCCAGATCCAGTTCCAACATCGAGCACCCGACCGACTTTGGTACCTTCCTTGCAAGGCGGGGCAACTCCAAGTCTATCATCGAGCGCAAGAAGCCACAAATGGTGCTGCAGATCTGGATATAATGTCAGAAAAGTGTTGTCGTATGAAGCAGAACCATTGGAAATAGCGTACCTAGCCTGTCCAATTCTCGCTCGTCGTTGGGAAGATTGTATTCTGAAGTTAAGTAAGAGCGGAGTTTTGACCAAGACAAAAGCGCGGATGCACATACTGCCATCTTTGTATCGGTGATAGGTCCTGCCATTCTCGAGACGGTAATCAAGAAGGGAATTGCGAAGACTGGTGCTTGATGAAGCTAGGCTCTAAAAGATGAGATGTTATGTGAGATATTGACCTTCCCGTTCAGTCTGGTGTACTGCCTCTGGCAACACGGGCTTGAGCTTACGCTTCCCACCTCTGAACGATCTTCCTGTTATTTCCACAGTAAGTATACTCCTGAGAGAAGGTTCATTGTAGGATGGAAGACTAGCTTCACTTACATCGTCCACGTCAAGGACCGCCGCGTTATTGTCATGGGCCATGTTGGCCGTGTCGAGTGCTACAGTCAATCTTACCGAACCACAGTACTGGGTCAAGTTTTGTCAAAAAGTAAGGTATGTCACAAAAGTCGGCGAGAAAAAAAGACTGAAGAGTAGCAGTGATGGGGAATAGGACTGGGCTCTACAATAACTTTTGTGCAAAGCACAAAACCGGCCTTGCCAACATGCCCCCAGCCAACCCCTCTTCTTCGCAGGAGGAACCCACGGGGAAACATGCATATGCGCGCCGATGGCGTTGCCACCGCGTTGCAAACAAATGTGGAACTGAAGAAGATGCGACCGAATAGGAAGTTCCAACTTCAGACAAGGGAGAAAGTAGTGTCTTCCACTGAATGGATGGTGATGCTTGTCACATCTGACCTCGGCCGCTCCCTTGTCTGCAAAGGCTGTGGGCAAACATCGAGACTATCACCCAACTAGCGTCCCCTTGTCTATGCCGCAGGTGTCCGACAGTGTAGTTGCCAAGGTGCCAGCTCAACGAACAATAGAGCCTGGCCCCTAACAATGAAAGCCCCGTCTTGAAGAAGACTATTCGGCAAGTGGATCAAAAAGTAAGTTATAAGCCATTTGGGAAGAAAGATTACGGCGAGCAGAAGCTGTTCATGTCTAAGTAACTGATTAAATCGCCTCTAGTTGTTTCGTCATTCTCATCCCAGCAAGACATCGAAGCCGGCACGCGGGATCACGACCAAAGCCGCCCCTCCATCTCTAGTGCATGCCCTCATGCTTGCTCGAAGATTGACACTTGCGGCTTGGTGCCGCTGTCGTTTGCATTCGTATGATTCGTGGGTTGCAAGTTGATATATCCCTGCAAACCCCCAGGATAGACTTACACTAAAGGCGACTAGAGCCGCTAGATCCCGTCTCGAGCGCAACCTCACTCGACAGCCGTGACTTCGAACTATATCATCAAGATGAAGTCGGGGCTTGGGCCTGTGAAGGAGTAGAAACAGTAGGCTCAGTGGCAGCAGGAGTTTTGGTGGAAACAGGAGCCTGGGCAGCCGGGACAGCTGATTTTTGTCCCTTTTCCGGCTTGCGTCCAATAATGGAGTAACTAAATTGGGTGTCCAAGTGAGCTTCATGGCGTGGGGATCACTGCGACTTACGTTGGAAGGTACCCGTGAACTCTCCGGTTGTTAACATCCTTTCGCACATCGACGAGGAACACGTTGACCTCCTCAGCGGTCCACTCAAAGGCTCTGGTAAACGCTGCCATAGTGAACCCCTCAATGCCAGCTAAGCCATTCTCCAGCTGAAGTCTGCCAAGTTGCCTGTACTTGGGGTCTTTGGCCCAGTCGTTGAGCGGCCATTTGAATGCAGTGATAGCAACGTCAACGAATCCGGCAGCCTGGACCTTCTCTGGGAGGCCTTCGGGATCAATGTAGGGGCGCCCGAGCTTGATCGTTGCCTCGTGTAACAGTTTGCTCCATTTGGAAATCGCGTGGTCTGGTGTCAGCGTCCCGTCATCTGAGTCGCAGTATACAGCAATTTCCTGCAATTCAACCCAGCCACCAGGAACGAGGTTGCTTTATCGGCACTTGGATCAGCTCCTGTGGCAATCTTACATAGACCGGGACTTAGAGGGAGGAAAAAACTCACTCGTAGCACCTACGAAGATACAAATCCCAGTCGCTAACGCTGCCTGTCATGACACGGCTATGGATATAATCAAAAGGCCTTGAGTACGTCCATTCTTCTTCAACGTCATCAACCTCAAACCTGACATTTGGTGGTACGCTAGAAGAAATCCTTGTTAACACCTTTTCGCATAAAGTATGACTTGTAAGGGTAATCCATGAGACGAGGGAGATGGAGACGCATACTAGTCAGGGAGGGTCGGAGAGAGGTCAATACCAAGAACCTTGGGGGAGAACAAAGTCAGTAAAGCACGTTCGAGAACAACTGCTTTTCACCTAAGGGGACCCTTGGTACCTCAACATCGGGATGGTCATCTGCATAGTTGATTGCCCAGATGCCACTGCCGGTCCCGACGTCAAGGACTCGGCCAACTTCAGCACCCAACTGGCCGGGCGGAGCCATGCCAGAGGCGAAGTCGAGTGAAATAGCCCAAAGCTCATCTTGCATGTCTGTGATCAATGTGAGTGAGTATTCGGACACGACATGAGCTGATGAGCACTACCTAGCCTCTCCAATTCCCTACTGTCGTTGGGAATCGTGTATTCTCGGTCAATGTTAGAAAGGTTCTTCCATGATTTATTAGAGGAAACACACTGCCATCTTTGTACCGATGGTAAGTCCTGCCATTCTCAACACGGTAGTCCAGGATTGAGGCACGCAGACTGGTGCTCGAAGAAGCGGTGCTCTGTGACAAGCTTGTAAGTAAAACTCATGATGCGTCGAAGAGTCGGAGTGTAGCTTGCACTTACGCTTCCAATATCTGACTGAGCATCGTCATGCTTACCACATTTAGAACCCCATCACAGAGAGAGATGGTACGACGACTTTACCTGATCGTCTGCGACGATTTGGGGAGTGATAGTAGTGCTTGGTTGGGCCATCTTGGGTGGAACTAGCGCGTTGGCGAGTCTTGTGCCGATCTTGCTGTTTGCTAATTCAATACTGATGAGATCAGAACACTGCGCCACGTCACACTGAAGTGATAGCAGCAAAGATCCTAGGAAAAGGTAATGAAGAAAACTGTTGAGGGGTCTTGATTGTTTTTGTGATTCAAACAGGCGATCTCAGTTCGGCACCCCTCTTCTGAGCTGGGGCTCGGCGTAGGAACCAACGAGCAAACATGCATATGCATCTCAACGGTGCAGTCTCCCCATTGCAGAAGATTGTGGAGCAGAGAAAACTTCGGCCGAATGAAGAGAGAAGAGATGAGACACGGGCATGTGGCAACGATTTCCAACTGCATGTCGCGATCCTACCACTTGCCACATCAGTCGGCAAACCCCTGCCAACGAGAATCTGGACTGCCCACCTTCGGAAGACATTCCGTGTCCGCGGTGCGCCAGACCCTTACCCATGCCCACGATATTTTGATGCCTCGGCCACTCTTCCCAATCTCGATCAAGTAACGATAGTGGACAATTAATGTGTTTGGACTCAGGCTGAGCTTACACACACGATGGTCCAGAACAGAACGGGGGACCCTTCTCAGCCAATTAATTGTGCAATTTGACCCAATACTTTATATAGCTATTGCTTTCCTGGCTAGTAATTCTAGAGGGACGTGGAAGAACCTTCGCCAGGATCAAGCTGCAGTTGCTGGCGTGCTCTGATCTTGAGGTGGAGCCGGAGTATCTTCCTTCAAGGGTTTCCTACCCACAAGAGTTGATCTACGGGAGGTTATGTCAGTCTCAGAGGATACCCTCCGATACAAGGTGTCAAGGCAACTTACATGGGCATGTACGAGTGGATTCTCTTGTCTCTCATATCCTTACGAACGCCTACAAGGAAAACTTGGACCTCCTCCTTCGTCCAGTTGTGGACGCGAGTCAAAGGTGCGAGAGCCATAGCTTCAGCAGCATCCACGAAGTTGTGGAAGTTCCATTCGCCAATCCTCTTGTGGTGGTCATCTTTCGGCCATGGGTTAGAAGGCCACTTGAAGTTCTGCTGGACCACGTTTCCGAATCCAACATCAACCATCTGCTCCCTTATCTCAGATACAGGAGCGAATCTACGCCCAAACTTTTCCGCAGCTTCCCGAATGAGGGAAACAAATTGGTCCAGAGGTTTCTCGGGGGGAAGAGTGCCATCATCGGCTCTGATAATGAACTCTGACTCCTGGATCTCAAAGTAGCCACCCGGGACGAGATTACTATTGCGCGAATCCAATTAGCCCTGTGCGATTTGCTTCGTTCCAGTGAAGCCTAAATACCGCGAACGTCAATCAAGTTAATTAATACAGTGAGCAAAAGAAACCAGACATACTCGTAGGCTTTCTGAATGATCTTCTTCCAATCCGAAATTGAGCCATTCATAAATCGAAGGTGGATGTAGTCAAAAGGCCGTGAGTAGAGCCATTCCTCCTCGACGTCGTCAACCTCAAACTTAACGTTAGGAGGCACACTAAGTAGATGTCGTTAGCAAGGTAGCCTATCACGCTCCAATCGGGAAAATCGCCTACTCTCGTGGCTGAATGGGAGAGAGATCAACGCCCAGCACCTATCTCACTGTCAGACACCTGTCTCTGGAAACACAACTTTCATGATCAGCTCTTACTTCCGTCTCTGGGTGGTTGTCGCCATAGTCAATGGCCCAGAGGCCGGTTCCAGTACCCAGATCGAGAACGCGGCCGACTTTGGCGCTCTCATCGCAAGGAGGAGCGAACCCTAACCTCTCGTGAAACGTAAGGAGGCAAATTTCGTGTTGCATATCTACTTCCTTTAGTAAATAATTCCTTAGCACCTAATGGAAATGCCACGAGATTCACAAATCACCTTGTCTGTTCTTTTCCATGTCGTCATTAGGCCAGGCATATTCTGAAGTACATTAGCAAAAGTTCGCAACCCAAATCTCTGACAAGGAGTATAGACTCACTGCCATCTTTGTACTTGTGATAAGATCTTCCATTCTCAATTCTATACTCAAGAATAGAGTCCTTCACGCTCGTAGTCTCTGACCGAAGACTCTCAAGATCCTGTTCGCTATCGGAAATCTGATGCGATCATCGTTAGCACTGGTGCTCTCGATAATGGTGCTTGCACGGACCCGTACGTCGTCTTCAGCGACCAGGTGGGCCTCCGGATCGCCGTGTGTGGCGGCCATGATCGCAGTACTTTGAGCCTGTCCTGAAAGCGTGTCTGTTGATATAATTCAGGACTATGCTATTTTATGCCTGAAGGTTTGGGAAGCAATTTTCAGTTATAGAAACCCACGAGGTGATGATTCGGAGTTTTGGGAGATGGCCAGACGAATCAACCCCTTCTTGCTTGTCAAACCAACTCGTGTCCTGCCAACCGCGGCTTGCCCGTCAACCACCAACCACAGTATCGACGTGCAGGCCGCATGATGCAGGCGAGCGGCGACGTTGCCTTCTTACAGACCGAGAAAATTGGAGATGCGGCAGGGGAATGGGAAAGGCATTCCCCGCCGCCGGTCGCGGGCAAAACACCCGTCAGGCTAGTGTCTCCTCTCTTCTAGCCGCACCAAACGAACGACTGAAGTGTGACAATGGAATAGGCACAAGTAATAATACCAAAACATTCTTCACACAGAATCCCGGATCTTTCTTCAAGTCTGAGTTTCTCAGTCAAATCTTATCACCGCAGAGTTGACAAAATGAAGTCACGAGAGGCTGGAAAACACTACGCGAATGGGCTTTCTACCCAATTTGATTAGAAACTCGATACGCTCAGAAATAATGCCGCCCGTGTGTAAGACATCATGAAAGATACCAGGCCCCTTCCAAAGATCTTCATGATTTGATCTGTTCCAACTGAAGATCGCAAAGCTGCCTTGAGCCATTAGCTAGCCGAAGGGGGCATCGGAATCGCTGAGGTTAAGCTGAGGCTTCAGCCGGAGCGGTCTCGGTAGCCACTGCCGGAGTCGCCGCTTTCAACGGCTTCCTGCCCACAGCCGTGTAGCTATTAACGTTGTCAGATCTCCAGCCCAGATGGCAAAAAAAACATGTTGCGACTTACATTGGGAAGTAGGCATGAACCTTTGGATCCCTAAGATCCTTCCGCACCTCGGCAGAGAACACCAACACTTCCTCCTTGGTCCAACCATGCACGCGGGTCAGCGGCGCAAGAGCCATGGTCTCGACGGCGCCGGCAAAGTTGTGGAAGTTCCACTCGCCGATTCTCTTATGCTTGGGGTCCTTGGGCCAGGGATTCGTCGGCCACTTGTAGCGGGTGAGGGCCACGTCTTCGAACCCGACCTCTGTGAGGATGTCCTTCAGGGTAGGGACCTCGACAAAGGGCCGTCCAAAGGCCTTTACGGCGTCGCGAACTAGTGCGGCGAATCTAGACAATGCCTTTTCCGGCGGCAGCGTACCGTCGTCAGCGGCGGGCGAGAACTCTGACTCCTGGATCTCGAACCATCCGCCGGGCTGGAGGTTGCTGTTTGCGGTATTTCTGTTAGAAATGTCTTCTACCTGCCGTATTTTCAGGGCAACTTACTCGTAAGCTTTCTTGATCAACTTCTCCCAGTCACCGACACCCCCATTGATGATTCTGCTGTGGATGTAGTCGAATGGCTGCGAGTAGAGCCAGTCCTCATCGAAATCATCAATCTCAAACCTGACATTGGGCGGAACCCTTCGATAGCAATGAAGTCAGCGATCACGTCCCAGGTAACTGCGTCAAAAGCCTTGGTGCTTGGATGAAAGGAGACTTACTCTGAGGGTTGAGTGGGCGAGAGATCCATACCCAGTACCTTCACAGGTGGTTAGTGAGTAGCCATTTTCAACCAGCAATGCAGATATCGGACTGCGTGATTTTCAAGTACTACTCACCTCAGCTTCAGGGTGCAGATCGCCAAACTCGATGGCCCAAAGTCCACTGCCGGTGCCGAGGTCAAGAACACGACCAACTTTGGCGTCGGGCTCACATGGCGGGGTGACACCGAGTTTGCCGTCCCAAGTCAGATAAAAGATCTCATGCTGCATATCTGGTGGCGGCTGGTCAGCGACGGATCAAGTCCAAGATTGGAATTTGACTTACCAAGTCTGTCGATTTCCGTCTCGTCATTAGGAACAAAGTATTCTGATATCGCTAGTTAGACAAAAGCTATGATTGAGCACGGGAAGCCGCTTGCTTACGTCCATCTTTATACTTGTGATAGGTTCTGCCATTTTCCTGACGATACTGAAGCATTGAGGTTTTTATACTCGTCGTCTCAGACAGCAGACTCTGCGCCACACGGATAGCATTAATAGGAGCTTCTCGCAAAGGAAGGACATGGAAATGAGGAAAGTCAAACTTACCTCGAGGTCTGCCTCGCTGTCGGTTTCGACCTGCAACTGCAGTTAGATTCATTGTACAGCCATGTGGTAGTGATGTGACGATTCAATGCATACAGGGTCATCGGCGACCAGTTGGTCTTCGCGGTCCACATTTGGAGGGGTATCTTGACACATTGTGAGATATCTTCAACGGTGACTTTTCTTCTGCAAATGAATTCCTTGAGACAACGAGAAAACGGGTTGAGATCTGCTGAGAGGCGAAGACCATTTGAAGGCGGGGAGAATGGCAAGCTGTTCTGTTTTCTGTGGCGACCAAAACATTCGATTGCGCGCCCCCTCTTCTTGGCCACCCCTGTCTCCGGAGACGACCAACAGAGCAAATGCGCATTGCATAACGCAGCCCGACGGCCAAGTTGCCTCTTTGAAGAAGATAATTGTGGGACTCGGGGTGACTATCGCGCACACCCCTGGTGTTGGGACAAGCGAACCGTTGGAAACCATTGGATGTAACACGAGACCTTTGGCATAGGGTACCGGAGCCGAGGCGAATGTCCGAGTCACCCTGGCTTCAGCAACAACTGCCTTTGACTGTGTTACCGATGAGAAGCGCGATGATAAATCCGGTTCCAGTAGGGGCAATTAATCAAGTTGGAAGTGGCCGAAAATATTCTTTACTGGAAAGGTGGACACCGAAACAGTGAACAAAATCCAAAAGCTGCGGATCACGGTGTGGCTGGCACGACTACTTGCCGAATCTCCAAACACCTACATCCCGTTCCTAATCAAACATTTCGTGCGCCATCATTTTCAAGATTCGCGTTGGTTTTACTGCCTCTATTCCGGTTTACGTCCAACAACAAAATACCCGAGTCCAACAAGTCAATATGAGAACGGCGTTGGCCAATGTCCAAGCACGATGGTGAGACTTACATGGGAATATAGGTGTGGTAGTTTTTGTTAGCCAAGTCCTTCCGGACATCAGCCAAAAAGACATCCACTTCCTCTCTAGTCCACTTGTGAGCGCGCGTCAGTGGCGCAATGGAAATAGCCTCAAGACCAGCATTGCTGTTCTTGAAGCCCCAGGCGCCCAGTTCCTTGAACGCGGGATCCTTGGGCCACGTGTTGATGGGCCACTTGTACCGGCTCAGTGTCACGTGCTGGAAGCCCACCTCAACCATCAGTGTCTTCAAGGAAGACACCGCAACGTACTCACGCCCAAGTATGGCCGCGGCTTCCTTCAGGAGGTTGCCGTACTTGGCCAAGGGGCAATCGGAAGGAAATGTGCCGTCGTCGGCCTGGAATTCCATCTCTGGCTCCTGTAGTTCGAGATAACCGCCAGGTTGGATATGCCTTGTCGTCATTAGTAGATGGCCGTCTAGAAAAGGCGGAAGTAGAATCACACTTACTTGAAACACTTGGTAAGGTACACCTTCCAGTCTGCGATGCTGGATGACATGAAATGACTGTGGATGTAATCGAACGGAAGGGTATATGTCCACTCCTCGTCGATGTCATCGATTTCGAACTCGACATTCGTAGCCAGGCTAAATGACCCGACCTCTCAGTCCTCTACTCCAGTTTCTTTTGGGCCACAGGGACTTACAAGTCTGGTTGTGTAGCGGAAAGATCAACGCCGAGAACCTGCCTACGATCAAACGCGTATTCTAGGTCCATTAATTCCTTTAAATGTACCTCAGCTTCGGGGTGATCACCAGCAAACTGGATAGCCCAGATGCCTGTACCGGTGCCTACGTCTAGTACTCGCTTGACTTTGACCTCGGGCTGGCATGGAGGTGCTAGTCCTAGCCTGCCACCAAGGGTTATGAGGCATATATGATGTTGCATATCTAGCACGGTCAGTCAGGAATGCCAAACTAATGGACTCGGCTAAGGGCCCTGTAGAGAAGGTCTACCCATTCTATCGTTGTCTCGCTCATCGTTGGGGATCGCGTATTCTGGTACCCGCCCCGGTTAGCAGGAAACACCGAGTAGACACAACGTTGTCTTATTAGCGACTCAAGATGTGGTCTTACTGCCGTCTTTGTAACGATGGTACGTCCTGCCATTTTCGAATCGGTAGTCTAAAATCGAGCCGCTGATGCTGGTGCTCGAGGAAGCAACGCTTTCAACATCTGCTCGGCTATCCTCTAGAGACTACGACCGCCGTCAGCTCGAGAGAGTGACACCTGTCATATGGTCACCAGCGCACCTGTTCGATGTTGACCTCGTGGTCGACTTCAGCCATGACTGTAAGTATTGCTTCCGATGAAACGACGAGGTGACGTTGAGGTAATCAACTTCGGCTATTGTGTCGTTATTCCAACAACACAGTATCGAAGGTAAAGATCTGGCAATGTGCTCGAGAGGAAACAGATAAATCGAACAGTTTGGTGGCAGAGCAACATGCCATCGCTGACAACCCCTCAATCTTTAGTCGAAGCAAACCAACACGAAAAACATGCATGCAATGCAGGGCAACAGCAAAGTGACCTCTTTGCAGCGCTTCAGGTGGGCCCGGAGCGAGATACCGCCAAGGAAGGGTGAGGCTCTCAAGGCAGGAGATAGACCAAGCTGCAGGTGCTGTCCTGCATGGCACAAATGTCTCCTCTCGCATAGTTTCGTGGTCACTTGGTTCATGTACTCACAGTTGCACTCTGGCCTCAAGTTTTGCATACGTGTACAACTGTGTTGACAAAGACCTCCGCTTGCATTGATTCAGTACTGCCTGGTTGAGCTTCTATTCCTTCCTTCGGTTGATGAAGTAAAACACCACCAATGCCTCTAAAACCGGATTCAGCAACTTCAATTTATGTCTCTCCCTCGTTGAGTTCAAAGATCCAAGGATGCTTTTCCCACCACCCTGTAATCGTGTACACTCAGCCTGAAGTGCTTCTCTCACCACACGATGTTGAAACAATTTTCAAGACGATCCCGTCAAGCTGTCGAAGCAGAGTACTCTGCCTACGTCGGCGCCCGCTTGGCAAGGGGGAGTCAGGCCGAGTCTGCCACCGAGCGTCATGAGGCAGATGTGGTGTTGCAAGTCTGACGACGAGATTAGCTCGTGCCCCGTGAAAATGGTGGTCTTGAAGCATGATTCACCTAGTCTATCCATTTCCCTCTCATCATCAGGGATGTTGTATTCTTTGGAATCCATCAGCCTCTCGTGACATTACTGGATTAGTAGGTAGATGAAGAAACAAAGGCCCAAAACTCACTTCCATCTTTGTACCGATGATATGTCCGGCCGTTTTCGAAACGGTAGTCTAGAATTGAACTGGAAACGCTGGTGTTGGACGAGTCAATACTCTTCCAGACCGTCAGCAAAATCTTGGACAACCAAAGAAAGCAGCGGTAAGCCTACTTCGATCTCCGATCCACCATTGTCCGGAATCTGCAGACTAGTTGTCAGTTCAACTCTGCGAAGAAGGTTACCGAGGTCACAACACCCCATCGTCGGCAGCAATGACAACTTCGTGATCAACCTCCTCAGAGAAGCAGAGGAGCCGGGGCAAGTGAGCCGGAGAACTCGAGGACGGGAACCCGCCCTTCGCGTGCCGCCTGGGAAGTGGTTCTAATTTTGCAGACGGAACCGCGGGGTGAGAACCCGGCTCCGGCCCGATCCTCGTTGACCAGCCACGAAACCCCCTCCTGCTTTGTGGAGTTTATACGAATACAGTTGCAAGTGAACGTTCTTCGGTGCTAACCCAAGCAGAATATTGGAACAAGTGTACAAAAGCTGTCGGCGGTGAATGCACCATGTTTACGATATTTCAGACAATGACTTTGGTGGTCACCCGAAGAATTCAAATAGTCAGGATCCGAATACGATTCAAGAGGACTAACAACAGAGCATGCGCTTAAACCAAACCCGTATTGTTACAGCTCTTTACAGGCCATCCATCTAGACCTGGTCCGATTATACATGTATCTAGCTCCAACTCCTAGCTTAAACCAAACAAAACAAAGACTTACATCACTCCTTTGGGAACAACTCCGCCGAAATGTCCTTATCCCTTCTCTGGTGATTCGTCCGGCTCGAACTGCTACCAATGACGGTCGGTGCGTCGCCATCCGTGTCCGGGTCGTATTCGGCGTCATCCGCATGTTTCGCCTTCTTGAGCTTCAAGCTCGCTCCATCGTCCGAATTCGCGCCCTCCTCGCTTGCCGAGTCGGCATCGTCGTACGGACTAACGCCTGCGTGTCTCGAGCTCCAGTCGGGATCCTCCTCCGGCAGTCGCTCGTGTTCGTGCTGGGGCTGCTTGATGAAAGAGTCGATGATGTAATACTGCATGGCGTTCATAACGAGCGGGAAGAACATCATGACGAAGAAGATTTGCAACTGCTCGTTGCCCTCGGTCCACCGCAAGGCCCAGTCGCCGACGCGCGAGATCCACGGCAGGAGTAGGAAGATGATGAGGACGCAGAACTTCATGCCAAAAAGGCCGCAGAAGTAGATGAAGGACTGTTTCAGCCACCACCAGGCGTTGGGAGGTGTGCCATAGTTGCCGGACCGGATCGACTCCTCAGGCTTGCCCAAGGGTGTGTACGCGACGAGGCCCGTCAGGACGTGGAGAAGTACGATGAGGATGGGGATACCGATGGTGGTCTGCAACACAAATTAGTATAATGTCAGGGACGAAAAAGAGAGTGGTTTCGCTTACATCAATAGCGAGATTGAGCAGGTAAAAAGAGCACGGGTTTGGTGTGTAGTCCTCGCCACGTCTCATCAACCTCTGCGCGTTGGCCGTGGTTGCGGGGTCCAGTGTCACAGAAAAGCGCCCTGACGTCAACATTGACATGAAGATGTTGGCGATGTGGACAAGAACCGAGCCAAACACCTGCTTCGAGACGTCGAAGAACCAGATCTTGACTGGACGTTGTGGCCGCTCTCTCCATCGCTTGAAGACCAACGCCAGCAAGGCAAGGCCACCCAGGGCGGCCTGGACGATGAGGGCGAAGGAGCCAAGCAGGCTGCACTCGCCGTTGCCACCTTCCTCGCCCTGTGTTACAGCGTGCGTGGCCGTGGCCGTGGCCGCGGCAGCGGTGCTCGCGACGGTCGCGATGGCGCCGGCGAGGGCGTCTGTCGGTGTCGCGATGGGCATCACGGCGTTTGCTGCTGCCTCGAATGCTGCTGTTGCTGTAGCTGCTACGACGGCGGCGAGTGTAGAAGGAACATCTTGGGCGGCGGTCGCTATCAGGTAGGGTGGCGGAGGGGCCATTGGCCTGGCCGGGTCGGGGGTTGTTGAAATGGGACTAGCAGAGGGAGGGACAGAGAGTAAAAGGGCGGTCTCGTGCGAATGACGGGGTGATGTTTGGTCGGAAGGGGGGGGGGGGGGCGCGACAAAGCGGCCGTCGGTATGTGGATGACGTTCTTGGGGTGGGAGAGAGAGGGTCGATCGCTTTAGGTCGAACAACGGGTTTTTGGCTGACGGATTAGGAGCGAAAGCGAGACAAGCGCATGCAACCGCGTTGTGGATTTGGGAGGTACCCTAAGAAAAAGGAACAAGTTCCGAAAAAGAGAAACCTGCGACGAAAGGAAGAAGCAACACAAGTAATAAACCCCCGAAAGGTCTGGGCGAGGAGGGATGGTTGATGGTTAAAAAGGGAAGAGTGGGAAAAAAAGAAAAAAAAAAGAGAAACACGGAGATAGAAAGAAGAGGAGCGGACTAAGGTGTAGCGAGGAGCGGACAGGCAAAAAAGGTAATCGTCGTCGGGGATTGATGGGCCAAAAGGCGGGCTGTCACGAGGCGGAGTAAGGAAGTGACATGCAGCACAGACTTGGGAGCTTAGGCAACTGCTTTGGTGCTGATATCTTGGCACCGTAGCACCTTGGAGGAACAAGAGAAACGACGCAAGAGCCTTGGTAAGAAGCATAAGCCACGGTCAGTGAGCGAGCGGTCTAGCGTTCGATCGTGTCTGTTCGAGCACCTCAGGATGATGATGAGCAGACGTATTGATGAGTACCTGGTAAAGATGCAATTGGGAGAGTAATTGCATGGAAATCATTCGGGGCCGGGTCCTGACACAAGCTTACTTCTGATTGGGCTTAGCGTCCCCGCATACCTTAACACACCTAGCTTTGCCTCCTTGGGGGGATCCTCCATTAGTCACTTTCCCACGGCCCAGACTTGCCGTAAACTCGCCTGGAGCAATACTTCCTTGACCCTCATTACTTCGTACTAGGGGGGCGGATAGACGGAGTCAGGACAGGCACGAGGGGGGCCACTAGCCAAGGCTTGTTGTAATGTTGTTGGCTTCCACGGTTTTACAGTTTGGAGCTTGGGGGCTCGGGTGGATCGAGGCGAGATTAGGAGATTTTAAAAAGGACGGAGAGACACCGCCGTCTGGGCGGCACCGCGGGCGAAAGACATCACGGGGGTTCGTCCTTTGGGTACCTAATTGTGCTGAAATAAGGTAGGCTCAGGAGGCCGCGGCCAACGAGCGGACGACGGACCGGAGAAATCACCGCCGCTCAAGGTCCACCTCACCATCCGACCTGACCTACCTTAGGTACCTACCTCCTTAACCTACTAGGTTCCTACCACTATCTTCTACCTCTCCGTTCCATTCGACAGATCGTATCATGCAAAGCGGCCAATATCCGTCCCCCAAAACCATCTGCCCTGCCTGAAAAAGCCGTTGATCTGGGCAAGCCACAAGAGGACAGAATCTGGCAACTCTCGACACTCCTGCACTAACATAGTAAACCGGCCTGGTGCCGAGAACCCCGATTTACGAGATTCACAGGCCTTTAGCCCCGTGGCCCCTCCATTTCCCCTGTCTCTCAGCTTGATTGGAACTCCGCTCGGCGCTGACCACCGATGTTTACCCGCCGGAGCCACTGGGTCGAAAGACGGCACCATCTCTGGTTCTCTTGGAATTGCAAACTACCCGTTCCTGGAGGACTTGGATAATCTGCTTCATTTCGTGAAACGCAGCCCAAAAGCAGAAAAAAAAAAAAAGGAGAATCCGATACGAGGTCAAGAAACACTCGGTTTGACATCCCGATACCGAAATCCTTTGATGTGTAACTTACTTGATTCCGCTAATATTCGGTCTCACTCCAATTTGTACTGCTGCACGACTCATCGCCGTCTATCAATAGAAACAACATCCCTTGTTGCTCCCCCAGCTAAACCAACCTGTCAAAGAAAACTGACGAGAAAAAAAGTCACTCCGCTGTTGCACCAGATTCTTCAGCCACAACCTCGAGAGTCTTGTGCTCATGAACAGCCGCTGACGGGGCTGGGCAATTCTTGTTGCCCACAAATTTGGCTTTGCCCAGGCATTCAACCAGTCCCGAGAAACTGGTTGCCCAGGGTTGCACAGGGCAAAAACACTGCCCCGTCTCACGGCACCTCATCTGCATGGAAGCTGTCATGGAACGTTGACTTTGGGGGTTCGAGATTATCTCACCTGCTTGTTCACATTCCGATGTACCACGGCATGCGGACCAAAAGTCACCAAAACAATGCATCTTTAAAGTAAGTCTCCGTGGTTTCCATTCTTCAGCTCGGGTGGAATGGGACGTACGGGCACTAGTGTGAGGTTATCATGGAGTGGAATGTTTCAATTTTTTGACCCTTTCGGCCATGTTCTGGCCGCTAGTTGCCAAAAACAATGTCCTTCTTTCATGGTATAATTACGGTAAGCGAGAGTCTAATATTGCGAAGCCCCCGTTCCAGATTCGCTTTTTGCATCCTATGCGCCCAGATATCTCGCGGTAGCCAAAAACGTTGCCATCGTGAACCCTTTCTTCATCCTGTAGTGTACCCAGAACAAAGAAAAGAAAACAAATCCAATCCATGCAAGAAAGTAAGAAAGCTCTCCAACCTTCAAGCTATCACCAATTTGTCCAAAGCAACGCGCGCAATCTCTATAATCTTCAAGCAGTGCCGATTCTCCTTGCTATCATCCTTGCCCTGCGGAACCATCAAGTGCTGGTCCGTATGCAGCATCGGGTGAGGGAGCCCGGCCGCCACCATCTCGTCAAGCTGGTCATGTCGGTTGTTCGACCGATCCTCCATCTGCTTGATGACGTCCCTGAGACCGAGGTGATGGTAAGGTATCGTAGATCCTGCCCCATTTGACCTCTGGAAATCGTGTCCGTATATGTCGAGTTTCAACAGGCCCCTGACCGATAGCCTCCAGCTATCTGGGTCCATCTCTCGATTTTCAAACGTCTCCACGGCGCCGCAGTCGGTATCGCGTCTGCCCAGTTCACCCCACAGCCCACCGTACTCGGCGAAGCGGAACGTGATGTTCCTCTTCTCTTTCTTGGCCAGGGAGGCTTCGTTGTCGATGAGCTCAAGAATCTTGGCGTAGGCGTTGGCTGTTGACGGGAGGATAGCGCCGAGCATCATCATGTTTTGAAATGCCTGCATCGGAGGCGGTTTCGTGATATCCGTGAGACTGCAGGATGGGCAGTGAATGACGTCGTGGGCCACGCGAGCGGCGGACCTGGCTATGTTCATTGCAATTTTGACATCGTTTGGTAGTCTCGATAGGGCGTCCAGGGAGAGGAAAATCTGAGATAGACAGGAGCACGTGGCGTTGTTGTATGCTTTCGGTGCCCCGTCCACGTTTTTATCAGAACCATCCTCACTCTTGGGGTTGCCAGATGTGGACGATTCCGGCGTGCTTGCGTTGGCTGTGTGTGATGATGTCTCCGATGCGGTAGGAGGGGAGAGGCTGGGAACCGTCTCGGGCACTTGCGCCGAGAGCAGTTCTGTAAGGCTTTTATTGATATCTTGAGGTAAATCCTCGTCAGCAGAGTCACTTTCGTCAAAGTTGATGCCACCTAACAGGTCAACACCCGCAACCCCAAACTGGAAGTCTCCATTAGGGAAGCGCGGCTCGGTGTATGCCATGGTCAAGCTCGACAGCTCAGGCGGCAGTGTCGAAGGCGGCAGGCCTTCCAAGGGGGAGAGGAGGTCAAGGTAGTTCATGCTAGAGTAGTCTTGGGAAAAGAAAGCCGAGAAGTCGGTGTCTAACGTCGGTTGCGTCATGAGTGGCACTTGCGTCTGCTGGTCTTGGTTCTCGGGCTTGTCGGGGGAGGATTGTCCTTCGGCATCATCGACATGTCTACGCTTCCTTGGCCGGCCCATCTGCTTCTGGGCCGAGTAGACACATCTGAGCCCCTCCCGCCGACACCTCGAGCACCCTTCAGGTTCCTTGGTACAAGCCAGCTTCCGTGAGCCTTGCGTGGGTTATTAGCATCTAGCCGAGTATAAGTTAAGGCTTTCACTTACGACACTCATCACACGCGCGGTGCTTCACGACACCGGCCGCCGACTTGGACGGGCTACTACTCTGGGGCATGATTTGATATGACAAACGTGATAAGGGACTAGAGAGGCGTTGTCGTGGTTGCCTGACAATATGCGATTGTTGAACTATTCTGATTACTCAGAACTCCCCAGACTGCTAGGAGTGCGGCTTCCGGGAGGGTTATATGTAGGTGACGGAGAGTTCGTAAAAGTTGATGTGCTAATAGGGCCGATGACTCTGAATGGCAAGGTAGCGACAACGGGGAGGGCACGACGATGAAGCCCTGGCTGCCTTAGCTCGTGGCTTGCTCTCCAGCTGAACCCCGGAGTTGTTTTCTTGCTCGAGGCTGCGGTATGCACGAGATGGAAGCATGCAGATGGTGACACCGACGGCCACGTTAGAAATTCAGACGTTGGTAAGGTATTGTGACTGCGATCCAGAGATCGGGATGAGAAAGACGGAGTGTGAGACACACGAGATGCGGTCGGGAAGCAAAAGGGCAAAGCTTCTCCCGGACCACGGCGTAATTGTTGTAGGTGAGGAGCAAGCCACGCAGCACAGCTTACCCGCCTTACCTCAAGCCTGCCCCCCTAAGACCAACTCAGTCGTATGGGGATCCATTCGTAAGGCAAGGTACATCCATCCACCCAGTAAAACTACACAGCAGCACACTGCTTGGCCGCCTTCGTCACCAGTCACTCCAAAGTCCCTTTCTTTGAAGGATTCGAGGCGGCGTCAGCACCATGCCAACCTTGCATATGACGGAAACCAAAGTTCATCCACAGGTACTTTTGCTAGAAATACGGCCTAGTTCACCGTTGAAGTTGTTCTCACTTCTCTATGGTCGTATCAGTAGTACCTCTCTGGCAACAACCGAGACTACCTATCTCTCGAGCAAAATAATGGCTGAGCCACCTCTCAAGGTTCCCTATCCTGCTCACGCCAAGACACTTGGGAAGGTGAACGAGTATCTTCCTCAACTTGACAAGAAGACACTACAAGATATGCTCTCCTCATATTGGTATGCGAAAGAATTGGGCTTCAACGCCTCCCTCGTGTGTGCAGGATGAGATTCCACCCCGGCCTGAACTACCTTGAAGTGCCATTTGGCGACGCTGTTATTGGCCGAGGTGGGAGTGTGTAATTCGTAAAGATTTGAGTCATCGGCGTAGGGAAGTAAGTGCCTTAGTATCAAGTACCATGGATGCGGACAGGGCACCAGCATCACGAGAAGTCTCTCCCTTAAAGCCGTTTCGGAGCAGCCCGAAGCGTCTGACCCATCACTGGCATGGTCGGGCGGTCTGACGATGGAACCTGAGAATACTCACACATCAACCCCCCGTTGGGCTTGGTGAGATCTCTCGATGTATCCTCGGATGCATCCACGATCCATCTACATGTGTGAGGGAGACACTCGGCGTCGCTGCGCCTGCTTCAGCGCGCAGTATTAAGCGTCCATTTGTGCCAAGAGACCACCTCGTACCCGCTGCCAATGAATCCGATGTTACGTTGTAGTGTCTTGAGCGCTGGAAGGTTGCGTGTGGTTAGCAGAACGGCAGCTGGAGGACGCCCTGTAGGGCAACCTATGCACCGCTGCATAGGGACCACCCGCCCATGGTAATAGCCGGAGAGGCGCTAGGCATTTGAGTAAAGGCGTTCAGGCGATGAGCTGACAGCCTCTGTGGCGTATGGTCGGTCCATTCTCAGGGTATTCAGCATCTCCGCATTCTTCTCGAAACTCTGCACGTTGTTTCAGGCCTATGACGTTCGACTTGAAACGTTTAGATGACCAGTAGGAGAGTAGAGTCAGTCTCCTTGCGTTGCTGTATTCCAACGGAATATGCGATAGGTGAAATTGGTGGTGTCGTTGCAGGGCAGATTTCGGGGCAGATTTTGGAGTCGCAGTTGGAGACGAACCGGAGCGATCCCTCCACTCTTCCGTCTCGGTCAACCCCGCTAGGCGGTCTGGGAAACGCTAACACCGACCGACGGCAGAAAAAAAAAATTCCAGAAGGCGTCCGCCCAAACCGCCTGCGCTTGCATCGCGAACTGAAAGCTCCAAAAATAGCCCTTCACAACCTCTTTTGGCTGACAATTTCCCACCACCACAATGGGTGCACGACAAGCGTTAGGCAAGCGGAAGGAGCCGCAGGCGGATGTTCCTGCCCCTGTTGACGACGAATTTGCCGCAACGTTAGAAGGTGTCTTGTCCGGGAGCGAAGACGATTCCGACTACGAAGAAACTTCCGAGTCTGAGGGCGAAGAGAATGGTCTGAACGGCGAGGAGTCAGAGGATGAGGAAGACGAGGAGGACATTCTGAGCGACGAAATTCCCTCCGACGACGAAGACATTTCTTCGAAGCTCAAGTCAACAAACCTCGGCAAGGACGCTGCCGCCGTCGATGGCGAGGACGACAAGCCCAACTACAGGGTCGTGACTGGCGCCGACGGCGAAGAGCGCTACGAGTACGACGAGATCAATGCCGACTACGACTCCGACGACACTGACGCCCAGGAGCCCGTCAACACAATCGGCAACATTCCTCTTTCCTTCTACGACTCTTACCCTCACATCGGATACGACATCAATGGCAAGAAGATCATGCGCCCGGCCGCCGGCGAGGCATTGGATGCCCTGCTCGAGACCATTGAGCTTCCCAAGGGCTGGACTGGCTTGACGGATCCCCAGACGGGCAAGCCACTCAACCTGAGCCAGGATGAGCTCGAGCTTTTGCGCCGCGTACAGATGAACGAGGTTCCCGAAGAAGGATACGACCCCTACCCCGTGAGTATTTAGAGACTTCGCGCGACATGCCTCCAAGACTAACGATGCCCAGGAAATGGTCCACTGGTTCACAGCACACGAGGAGAAGATGCCCCTTAGCGCGGCGCCCGAACCGAAACGCCGCTTCGTACCCTCCAAGCACGAGGCGAAGCGCATTGCCAAGCTCGTCAAGGCCATCAAGGACGGACATATCTTGCCGTACAAGTCGGCGGAAGAGAAGGAGAAGGAGGAAGCCGAGAAGGAAGAAGTCTACTACGACGTCTGGGCGAACGAGGAGGAGCGCCCGCCGCACGTCATGGACATTCCGGCGCCCAAGCTCCCGCCTCCTGGCTACGACCTCAGTTACAACCCTCCCCCTGAGTACCTCCCGACAGAAGCCGAGAGGGAAGAGTGGGAGAAGGCGGATCCCGAGGACAGAGAGAAGGAGTACATGCCCGCCAAGTTCGATTCGTTGCGCAAGGTCCCCGCCTACGGCGAATTCGTCAAGGAGCGCTTCGAGCGCTGTCTGGATCTTTACCTCGCTCCCCGTGTGCGCAAGAACAGGCTCAACATCGACCCTGCGTCGCTTCTTCCCAAGCTGCCTCGTCCCGAGGAGCTCAGACCTTTCCCCACATCCTGCCAGACTGTCTTCCGTGGCCACGAGGGTCGCGTGCGGTCTTCTGCCATCAGCCCTGACGGCGAGTGGCTTGCAAGTGGTGGTGACGACGGTACTGTGCGCTTGTGGCATCTCCGTACCGGTCGCCAGGAATGGATGGCCAAGCTCAGTCTCGATGAGGCTGTGAACGCTGTTCGCTGGCGTCCTAACAAGGAGACCTTCATCCTGGCTGCCGCTGCTGGTGAAGACATCTTCTTTGCGGTTCCTCCTCGCGGTGCGGATGGCATCGACAAGGCCAGCCGTGACATTCTTGACGCTGGTTTCGGTTACGCCACACAGAACCCTCAGCCCAATGCTGCTATTACCAAGGAGCACCCGGGCAAGTGGGCCAGACCCGGCTCCAAGTTGGAGGCTGCCGGTGTCCTGCTCAAGGCCACCGTCAGGTCAGTCATCAAGGTGATCAACTGGCACAGACGAGGAGACTTCCTCAGCACCGTGTCCCCCAACGGTCAGCGCAGCGCAGTCGCCATCCACACCCTCTCGAAGCATCTGACTCAGATTCCCTTCCGCAAGCTGCCCGGTCTCGCCCAGACGGCGCAGTTCCACCCCTCGAGGCCCCTCTTCTTCGTCGCGACCCAGCGCATGATCCGCTGCTACGACCTGCAAAGACAGGAGCTCGTCAAGGTCATCCAGCCCGGCGCCCGCTGGATCTCGTCCTTTGACGTGCACTCTGGCGGTGACAACATCGTCGTGGGATCTTACGACAGACGTCTCCTGTGGCACGATCTCGACCTCTCCAACCGCCCGTACAAGACGATGCGCTTCCACTCGGAGGCCATCCGCGCCGTCAAGTACCACCGCAGCTTCCCCCTCTTCGCTGACGCCAGTGACGACGGCACCCTGCAGATCTTCCACGGCAAGGTCGTGACCGATCTCATGGAGAACCCGACCATTGTGCCGGTGAAGATGCTCAAGGGCCACAAGATTGTCAACAAGCTCGGTGTCCTGGACGTGGACTGGCACCCTACGGAGCCCTGGTGTGTGAGTGCCGGCGCCGACGGCACCTGTATCCTCTGGACCTAAGTGAGTTCATGGTTGGGGAGGGTACTTGTAAGTTTTCACAAAAAGACAGCGAGGCGTTGGGAAGAACCAAAAAGAACCAAAAGAAGAATTCTTTAAGAAAACTACTAGACAAGTTTGCTTTTTTTTTCTTTTCTTTTTTTCTTTCAAAAAAATTTGTTCATGTTAGATGATTCGCCCTCGATTTACCTACAACGCAGGATGGTGTCATTAATGGATGTCGAATTTGTACAAATGATTGCTCAACATTGTGATCCCTACTCAACCACTTGCTGTGAAGCTGAAGAGAGGTTTTCTGTACGGATACTTGACGAGTAGCAAACTCTTACCAATGCCAGACGGACCTGAGGAGGCTACTTGGCGACGGAAGACGATGCCGAAGGGACCGAAAGGGCCAGAAACCCCACCGCGCCAGCGCAGGGTGTTTGGCTGCAAGTTTAATCAGGCGTTGGCTCGTACGTCTTCGCCGTCTCATTTCTCAATTGACGGAAGTTCAAGGTCCTTTCTCTTTCGCTGTTGGGGGCCGCCCTTCTTCTTCTTCATCAACAAGAGAGCGGCCCTGGGCGCAATATGCGATGGGTGACGGGTTGCTCGCAAATTAACAAAATTATAGCGCTCTTTGCAAGTTCCTCTCTGCCAGTTCTTCCCGTCCGTCAATCTGAAACCTGCCTTGCATCAAGAGGGCGTCACACCCGCGGGGGAGGGGGGGGGGGGGGGGCGAGTCATCTTAATCCTCAGCCGTTATTACCTACCTTAGACCACCTCACTCCTCCCGTCTGCCTCTGGAGTCTCTGCTCCTTTGTTCCAGTCCCCTGGCAAATCCGAACCCACGTCATGCACAGACACCACAACCGAAGGGTTGGTTGGAGATCGCGTATCGTATGGTGCCACGGTGCCAGGTAGTAATAGTGGTAGAGTTGTAAGGTTATTGTAAAGCGGTGGAACGCCTGGCCCCGGTTCTCGACCTCCGGGAAGATGGCACACACACACACACACACACCTTTCTGTGTAGGGATACAAACACGGCATGAATGACAGTGGCCCAGAACCTGCAAGGCTCATAAAGGGCCAAGGTTCTCTGCCGTTTCTTGCGTCGGATCGCCGCTGTCATCGAACCGAGAGGAGGTCGTTTAGAGACGAGCTTGCATAACGACGTAGCTTATATCCGTAGTATGAGGCTTTCAAGACTTTTTCGCCGCCCCCCATCCTTTTCTACCTCAAGAATGGTTGACGTCCCATCCTCTTGGCATCTTGGCTGTTTGCCCTTTTTTTGCCTTGCCTGTCTTCACATCATCTCTTGCTCACCCACCATACCCTGGCAATCTACTCCAGGTGTGTGGCCCGTATGCTCATTTCCCCGTGAGCCCCGATCCATCATCCCGCATCGAACGAAATCATCTTTTTCTCGAATTTTCAAGGGCCGCAGTTCCCACTTTATCCGTACTTTTGTTAGAGATCCAGGAACCCTGCTGCCGCTCTTGGATGCTTCAGGCGCGCGGGCTTTGAATAATTAATCAACTGCCCCGCGCAGGCGCAGTATTGCTGCTAGTCTTTTCTGTCCCTCTTCTTTCTCGGTTCTGCGTTCCGGATCTTTTGCCATCTTTCCCTTTTCTTACGGCCTCACGGACCCGGCTTGCCCTATCCGCAGCGTTACATTTCTTCCTATCGCCATGGTCTCCTCAGCTTCGTATGCAGCGGCCGCGTTGCTGGCCCTGTTCGCGACCTCCGGGGCGGCCCAGAACTTCACCATTGCCAACGGCCAGATTTTCACGCCCGGGTTGATCATCTTGGATGCGCCTCAGCCGGGGACCCCGCTGGGCGGAGGTTAGTACCAGCCAGACCCCTTTTCCAAAAAAAAAAACCCCCCAAAAAAAAAACCCCCCCTCTTCAGATAAAGGCTCGCAAACAACATGAGATTTGGTTTTCATCGGACCAACAGATCGTTAACAGTGGTTCAACTATAGATAACCTTCATGTTGCGATCGACGTCTCGACGAACGGCAAGATGCCGCTGCCGCCGTACGCCTCGGATAGCCCGACCAAGATCTTTAATGTGACAATGTTCTTGTCAAGCTACAGCACGGGCCGCAACTTCACCATCTCCAACGGCACGGCGACGGCCAACAACGCCAGTCTGGGGGAGATTATGACCCAGGAGCCCGGCAGCACGGTGAAGCACGTGAACTGGATATGGCCGGATTGTCTCGTCGGCAACGGACAGCCCAGCTCGAGCGACAGCGATCGCGGCGCATACAATGTAAGTCGGACCACTCACACACACACACTCACCCCCAAACTTGGAGCCGATACGGAGGGCCGAGGACTAACACACCAATTCCCCCTAGATCTCTATCCGTCAAAATTTCCGCCTCAACGGCGAAGACCACTACACAATCTTCGACGTGCCCATCTCCGTCACGAACAGCATCGAGCAGAAAGACGGCCGGCCCTCATGCGACGCCCTCAACAACCCGCTCCTCACCGCTGAACAACTCAACGCCACAGCCGCCAACGGCGTCGGCGTGCTCTTCGCGCCGGGTGACTCCACCGCCATTGAAGTCAAATCGGGAGACGGCAGCGGCGACGACGGGCTCGGTGGGACGAAGCCCGAGGCGACGCCCGGTGACGGACTCGGCGCGGGAGCGAGCTTGAGGTGGAGGGATGGGGCGTATTGGTTATGTTTGGTAAGCATCGGTGCCGCGCTGATGCTCTGATCGAAGGAGGTTTCCGTTTTAGCCCAGTTCCGCGTGGCTGAGCTGGCTGATGTGTGAGGAAACGTTGGTAACACTTGTGCCCATTCATGATACCCCCAGACACGGAAGCTGTATTAGTACATATTTCTTAAGGTGATTGATTGATTACCTTTGCGCACAGATATTTCAAACGGCCGAACATTTGATCTCTTCTAGAAGTTGGCAGAGGGCGAACGAAGGTGGGGAGGGTAGCCAATTGAAGATAAGGTCAATTCTCTCCAACGAAAGTACGGATACACAAAAGTCTTTTCGTCTTGTACAACTCAAAAAGACAGTTAAGCAAACACCAACCGATCTCAAGGAACGGGGTCTATTACGCAGTAGGAAACCTATTCCCGGGTCTTTCACATTCTCTACTCCCACCGGGTCGGTGACCATCCGGAAGCTGGAACGTCCTAGCCATCCGGTGGCCCCCATGCCGCACGTGCGACGAAGTGCTTTCTGGAAAAGGCAATACGCACGTCAAGGCCAGGCGAGAAGCCGTTACACTTACTTACCACTTGCATGTGGCCAACCACCCGCGCGCCACTCGGCTCAGCTTTTTTTTTCTTCTTTTCTTTTCTTCTTCATAGGTAATTATTATGGCACGAGGAAACGTCGATCGAAGCTCGCAATCCACGTTTCTCACCAGCCCCTTGTCCTATCACAATACTCACTAGACGGGCTTTGCATGACAAGTCCCCCCTCCCACCCCTCCTCCCCCAGACTTCCGCGCCGTTTAGACAACGGGACCCCCCGGATTCCCCGCACTTTCTGGCCGCACTAGACCTCGGCTGCGCGTTGCATCTCCAATCTGGAAAAGGGCGAGAGCACGTTGTGTGGTTGTACGACTGCGGCAAGCATGATGGGATGGGGACTGACTGGATGGTCGGAGCTTCCAACTCACGCCAAGCATCAAGTCGGTTGGGAGCTATTCTGCCTCTGTCACCCGGTGTGTGTGTGTGTGTGTGTGTGTGTGTGTGACGGACGACCCTGGCCAACCTTTCTTTCCCATGACTGTTGAAACCCCCCTCGTCATTGAAACACCCTTTAAGTATGGGGGGTTCGCATGCCAGTAGCACGGTGGTGCCATGTTGAGATTGTGTTTCTCTTGACAATCCCTCCTGTCTCGGAAGAAACCTAGTACAACCTAAGCCCTAACTCGAGCTTCATTGCATCGAGACCAAGGAGGTTGGTTGCCGAACACTCACTCGACTCACCGGCATTAGCAAAAGAAAAGTCCATCTCAGAATTACCTCCGGGCCTATCGTCTGATTTCATCAACGTATTCGAGAAACGAAAGCCTGATCTCATAGGGTCCATCATAAGCCTGCCAAGGCATACAAACACACCCCATCGCGAACCGCAACAATAACACAACCTCGACGATGCCTCTACACCAGGGCTTCCTCCCACGCGAGGGCCTCACCGCCGACCCCATCTTCCGCCTCATCGCCAGGACCGCGCTGAACCCGTCCGTACTGCTCCCGCTCCTGCTGCTCGCCCGCTACACCAAAAAGGGCGGCGACCTCGCCATCCTCCACCCCACGGCCTTTTCGCGCATCAAGTTCCTGGCGTACTGCGCCGTCACGCGCTGGGCGAGCAGCTGGCTCTCGCGGCGCGCCTTGAACAACTGGGTCGACGACCGGTACAACTGGCGCAAGGAGATTGTCCTCGTCACGGGCGGTGCTGGTGGGATTGGTGGGCATGTTGCGCGGCTGTTGGCTGAGCAGGGTGCTACTGTCGTTGTGTTGGATATCCAGGACTTGACTTTCACTGCTGGTGAGTTTCTCCTTTCGCTGGAGTAATCCTTGGTGATGCCGTTTTTTTCGCGTACTTCATCGTCTGACGTTCGCCGACAGCTTCCAATGTGCACTATTTCAAGTGCGACATCACGTCAACAGAGAAGCTCGCAGCCGTGGCCGATGACATTCGTGCAAAGGTCGGCCACCCGACGGTGCTCATCAACAATGCCGGCGTAGCCCGCGGCAAGACGGTCCTTGATTCGACGGAGCGGGATATCCGCTTTACTTTCGATGTCAATACGCTTGCGCACTACTGGACAACCAAGGAGTTCCTCCCCCACATGGCGAAGACGAACCACGGGATGATTGTAACAGTCGCATCGTACGCAAGCTACCTATGCGTTCCCAACATGGTAGGACGGACCCTCAGGGCTGATCTGGCTTGCCAATTCAATAAAGATGACTAACTCTCTCCAGGTCGACTACGGCGCCTCCAAAGCCGCCGCCATGGCGTTCCACGAGGGTATCACGGCAGAGCTCACCACCCGATACAACGCTCCGCGAGTGCGCACGGTACTAGTCAACCAGGGCTTCACAAAGACTCCACTGTTCACCGGCTACGAGCAGGGCGTGGAGTTCATCCTCCCGGCGCTGGAGCCCGAGACCGTCGCCGACGCCGTGGTCAGGCAGGTGCTCACGGGCGAGAGCGGTCACGTCGTCTTGCCCGCGTACGGCAACGTGCTGACGGCGCTGCGGGCGTTCCCGCACTGGTACCAGCACCGCATCCGGGGCGAGTCGCAGAAGCTGATGAGGAACTTTTCGGGGCGGCAGGTGGTCAAGGACGTGGAGGGGTTCTACGAGAAGAGGGCGAAGCAGGCGGAGCCGGAGGCTGAGCAGGAGAGGCCGGAGGAGAGCACTGTCTTGGTTGCGGAGCCTATTCCTGAGCCGAAGGGTATTGAGTAAAGATGAAGTCAAGATGGAGAGGGCATAGTGACAAGTTGTGTTGAAGGCTCTGGAGGTTTCTTGTATGAAATTTCACGACGTGAAGTCAAGTCACTCTCGGATAGGGAGTTTATTAATTTCCAATGGTCGGTCATCTTGGGAGCCCTGTCCCTGCACACCCTTGAGAGCCGCAGCAAAACGTCGAGTGCTGTCGCTACGCGTACGCGATTACGTGAACAATTTCAACTATGCCTTTTGAGACTTGAGATCTTCTTCCCACTTAGACCAGAGTGTACAAATGATGGTTCAGTGTTTTCAAGTAATTAGGTGAGTATCGAAACCCCCAATGCTCGATCGTTGCCGTCTAAATCTCCCATCAGCTGAGTTGCGAATGATGCCAAGGCCTTGAGTCGCTATTCTTATCTCGGGCCTGTTCAATATCCGCACTCCGCTCAAAGATCATCGGCCAAGGCCACCTCCGTCTTTGACCTGCGAAAATCCAACTCACATTCTTCATCGCGTCTATCCGTCTTTCGATTTCTGTACAGAGTATTCGTACATTCCCAGGCACTCACTCACATACGTACGAAGTACGGAGTACACCGAGCCTGCGTTGAAGAGGATTAGCAGAGTCCGAACCAGGGTATTACCGAGCCTCCCCTTGGTCTCGAATCACGGGTTCCTCGGCGTTTGCTTCTCTTTCCAGGGGATGGGAAAAGTTGAATTGTGATAAGATATTCGTACACCCTGCAACATGTGAACTTTAGCATCTCCTCATCCGTACGGATAGACGTTTATTCTCTATTCATACTGGTAGAATGCAGAGTACTAAAGTCTAGACCGACATGGTCTTCCAGTGGAAACCGGTAAACAAGCGAAGCAAGCAAGATGACTCGCCTTCATGTCTACTACATAGTAAGTCCACAGCCAAATTATCTCCCGAACCACTTGCCAATCCCATCCGGCATCATCAGTTCGAGGTTCCCACAAATCGATGCCCTTGCGATTTCGATTGAGGAGGGAAAAGGAAAAAGGAGAACCAACGATGGCGAACATGCCACCCGACGGCACAGTTCGTCTAAACCCCCGGTCACCGGATCCGTCGTTACCAGAAAAAGACGACTTCCAACGGTTTCCTTCCAACAACAGTAGCAACAACTACCACTTCCAACGACCTCCCCCCCCCCCTCTTTTGTTTCCCTATTCTTATTTTACCCCCTTCATATCCATACTTTCCTTCGTCAGCTCGGGCCCGGTCTCTTTCTCCTTGTTCCTTTCTTTTTATGTTTCCAAAAGCTGGTTCCGTGTACAGATAACTTGACAAGATCCGGGTTCTCGGGACCGTCCCCCCATCCACCCACCTTTGTTCTAGTATCCCTACGGATTGAGGACACAGGTACAACATGATCAGCAATAACCCTGCTGGCGTGCTAGAGTTGGTCGACGGGATAATAGACGATGATCGGTCAGATGTCGGAAGTGTAAGAGCGTTTCAACCTTCCCCTTCCATTTCCCTCACCCTCACTCCTTCCCATTGCCTTTACCTTGTGTCTTTGGGGGGGGGTGTTATAAGACGACTTTCGACTCAACACATGTGTTTGTATACAAATCGTTTCATCAAGTACAAGTCTCCGCGAATCCATACTCAACTACCGCGTGGAGAACGGGAGAACATATCATCGGTATAAAGATGGCAGTGAGTTCCACTATACCAAGACTCCAACATCGGATGACCTTCGCATGGAATCGAGACCCTAACATGAGACACTAGAATACACCAAGCCAAACGATGAGCGGGAGATGGAAAGATTAGGTTAGCTTCCTCTTTCTTTCTTCACATTTCTATTTTACCACCCCTGCTCGAAGTACTCGGGTCTTGGCCTGCTGTCTTTTTCATCTAAACTAACACGGGAGATTGTCCACCCACCTCAGAGTTAGAAAACGAGCTATGGCTTATATCCCTTGACTTCACCTGCGGCGTCGCCCCGCCGTGCAGGATGGATAACCAGACTGCGTGCGGCAGGGTGCTCGACGTCGGTACCGGCAGCGGTATTTGGGCCGTCAGCTTTGCGGACGACCATCCAGAGGCGGAGGTAAGGAATTCTCAGATCCCCCGTCCCCATTCAGGAAAGGGGGTCTTATCGTCTTCTGTACTCAATGTCTGACATGAGATATTCTGTTGTAGGTCATCGGCATCGATCTCTCGCCGCCACTCTGCGACTAGTATGCAATTCCTCGACGGCCCCCGCTACTAGAGCTCTCCTGCTCTTCAGCACTTCCTTAAGTTTCGCTTCTCATTTGTTTCTCTAACCATGGAGTGAAGTGTACCGCCTAATCTCAAATTCGAGATTGACGATCTCGAAGAGGAGTGGACCTGGTCACGACCATTCAACTATATCCACAGCCGCGTCATGACGGGCGCCATCGACGATTGGGACCTCCACCTCCGCAGATGTTACGAGTAAGAAGCCCCAGCCCACTCGCCATTCAAGAAGAAACACATAAAATCTTCTGCTCTCCCCCAAAATAGAGACTAACCCAGGCACCAAACCAGCAACCTCGAACCAGGCGGCTGGATAGAACTCCAAGAACTAGACGTCCACGTAACCTCAGACGACGGTACCCTGACCCCCCACCACGCCCTCGCACTGGTCCCGCCTCCTCGCCGCCGCCTCCCGGAAGCTCGGCAGGCCCTACATTGACCCGCGCGCCCTCGCCGCCGCGGGCTTCGTCGACGTCTCGGTCACGACCTTCAAATGGCCGCTCAACGAGTGGCCCAAGAGCGCGAAGCACAAGCAGCTCGGCCGGATCCAGCTCGAGAACGGGACGACGGGCATGGAGGCCTTTACGATGGCGGCGTTTACGCGCGCGTTCAAGTAGACGCCCGAGGCTGTCAACGTTTTCCTGGTGGATGTGAGGAATGATTTGAGGGATAGGGATATTCATGCGTATATGCCGGCGTGAGTAGAACTTTGCGCCCCCCCTCTCCCCCTTCCAGTTGGCCTGGATGTGCGAACTGACTGTTTCTGTAGATATTGTATCATTGGGCGGAAACCTGATGTAGGGGAAGTCTTTCCATATGATAGAAGGAAGGATTACTATTAATGGATCGTTCATGGGCGAAACTAAGACTCCCCCTTTCGACTGCCGTTTCCGTGTCGTTGGTGGTAGTTGAAATGTTGCGACGGTGTCTTACGGGGGAAGAGGGGCAACCATAATACCAAGTCACAAACTAGGATGTTCTAGCTATGTTACAAGTGAGGGGAACAGGCCGGAACGTTCAATATTCAGAGCCCAGAGTTGTATATTTCACTTTCTGACACCCCCTCAAGCGGTGCTAAATCCATAAAAACAATCCAGCTAGAAAGAAAAGCTATCATTGACAACACACATCGTCAGCATCACCTCCTCTCCCATAACGCGAAAACGTAGAAACTCACAAGCTCAGAAACAACACTTCCTTTCGCCTCATCCTCCTGTCTTCGAAGCCGCTGCCATCGGTGCTCCGTCGTCTCGGAGGGTGCTTTTCTCTCCAGGCTAGTTTCCTTGTCTTCCGCACACTCTTCTTCATTTGGTTCTACCCCGCGGCCAATATCCAGACTCCATCAGACTCTCCCAACCAAAGAAAGTACACAATGAACAGACCAGCATACCTTTTTCATCAATAGGCGTCCCAACATGTTCCCAGTCCGCGTCATCGAGGCCGGTCGTCCCTTCATACTTTGACTTTTCCTCATCCTTCTGTGGCCCCTCGGTTTGGAGGTCCTTCGAAGGCATCTTGAGTTCCGAACGCCTGTCTTCTGGCGTGAACTTGAACTGATCTCTGCGGTCGCTGTAAATGAGACAGGAGAGCTTGTGTAGAATCAATTCAAGTCAAATCATTCATCTCACGACATGAGACTTATTTGAGGGTGTGAGATGAACCACGAGAATTCACGGGCTCATCAAATGTTGAGGCGGCTGCCTTGCGCCGCGCCACCGGTTGAGGCTGACAACTTCAGTCACATGGGCATGGGAGAGGAAGCGGCACCATGCCGTGACGCAACTATCCAGTTCGGGCTTCGTTCACTGACGATACGCAGAGCATTCGTGTAAGCCATGCAGGTTAGCCCCGTCGGGTGCCCGAATTTGCGGCACAGTTTCTCTTAGCTTTGCCCGTTTGGGAGCCGTGGTTCCCTGGCAGGTTTTCTACTGCCTCCACTTCCTCTGGAACGCATATAAGTCTGTCGTGGCAAAGTACTTTGGTGATATTCAGATATTCCCTCTTGTTGCGAGTTCTCATTTCACGGGAGGAAAAAGAAAAAAAGCTTCCATCTTCGCAGGGACAGACATGTAGTGTAGGAGCAACGTTGAAATTATGCGGTAGAAAGAAACTGAAATAGACACATTATGTGTATCATCCAATGCTGGTATCAACCCGATATGTCATCTACTCGTATGCACAGATAAAACAAAGAACCCAACCACCAGATGCAAACGCCTCATTATCCGTGGCCCGCAGCACTCTATATCCAAGAAAAAGGCCCTCCTCACTGCTCCATGACCTCCACGATCCCCTCCCAAAAGTTACACCGATCCCTCTGCCCGTCATCGACGTTCTCCATCCGGTTATTATTCAGCTCAAACACGTACCGCGACTGGTTCCGTCCCCAATCGCCCCAGTCCGGCGCACCCGCGAGCTTGAACGTGTTGGGATTCAGGTCGCGCACAAACGAGATGACGTACTTCATCATCAGCGAGACAATGGGCCGGTTATACGTCCGGAAGCTGTCGGGCGTCGGGCACGCGTCGATGCCGAAGACGGCGGGCGCCTCAAAGACGTGCGGGACGCCGAGGCCGGAGGCCGTGTTGTCGTTGTCCTGGACGTTGAAGCGGTAGGACCAGCTCGTCCCGGAGCGGTTCGCGGCCGCGTAGGCGTTCATGATGGTGTTAGCGGGGCAGATGAAGGTCGTCTCGCCGTAGGCTTGGCTGGTGGACGGGAACCAGATGTTGTGGTTGGGGAGCTGTGGGAGGAGGGGGTACTTTTGCAGCATCGGGTCGGTTTCGTTCTTCGTGAGTTTGGGGTAGTTGTCTGTCATGAAGGAGACGAACTGGTCCTGAGTTGCGACGTTGGCGGCGAAGACGGATCCCTCTGAAGGAGTGTGTGAGTACCTTGGTCATTGCTGCAATAGGATGGCGGGACTAACCGTTGCTTCCTGTCCCAAAGAGGACGGGAACTTTGATGAAAGAACCCTTTTCGAAGAGTCGGTACGGGTAATCTTGCAGGATGTCGCCATCTATACAAGGAGTCCAGTAAAAGTGCGGATTTGCCAACCTCCCCGGAAACGGTGATGCGATGTTGGCATCCTGAATCGCTTTGATGTCTTTACCGCGCAAACAACCCATTTGGTCCTTGTCATCTGTGCAGCCCAACTTGTCCAGAGTCTGGTTGAACTGGTACTCAAGCTCGGGAACACGAGGCTGCGCGGGAAAGAAGACCGACTCGGACATTGCGCCTGCGAAGAGCTTTTCGTCGCGTCCGCCGTATGCTGCGAGTTGGAGAGCCACTGAACCTGCTCCGGCCGAGAGGCCGTGGATAACTACATGATTTGGGTCACCGCCAAACTGTAGAGCTTGTGAGCATGGCTGAAAATAACGTGAAGTGGGATAAGAACTCACCTTTGAGATATGAGTCTGAACCCATTTCATCATTAATCGCTGGTCCAAGAGTCCCACGTTCAGCTCGCCGTCTTTTCGAACACGCTCACTCGCCAGGAATCCCCACAGTCCGACCCTGTAGTTGAAATTCACAAAAACGATATTCTTGCCCGAGACATCTACAACTTGAGAGCCGTTCCAGTTCGGATTGGCATTTGAAGTGTAACCTGTAGCCGTGTCAGATAAGAACTTACTGCAAGACCGACGGACAAGGGAAGAGCTACGGCTCGACTCTCATCTCTAAATGGGGCAGTGCTGTATGAGTGGAGGAACCTTACCACCGCCTTGAATGAACAACCATACAGGAAGCTTTGAGTCAGCCGTCGCGTTTGTTGGTGACCAGACGTTGGCGTATAAACAGTCCTCGTCTTGACCTGAGGTAGGATAAGTCACATCCGTCCCCAAACAAATCGGCCCAAACTGAGGTTCTGTCAGCGAGGTGGCACTCGATCCAACAACACAGCCCCGCGCCTTACATCGATGGCATCTGTCGTGCCCTCTTTCGGTTCGGGATCTTGAGGTGCTCGCCATCTCAGATTTCCTATCGGAGACGCGGCATACCGCATTCCCAGAAACTGGTTCACACCGCTCGGGAGCGAATTCCCAGCATACCTCGCGTAGCCGAGATCGACGGTGACCCTCGGCAAGTTGGCCTGTGACGCAGCGTCAGTACTTCTTGTGCGACGTACCGCCAGGGAAAATTTTGGGGGAAAGTTGAGACATCAAATCGGACCTCATCTCGAACAGCGAGATATTCACGAATGTTGAAGTAGAGGACAACGGAGAGGGCCGCGAGGATCATGCTGGCGATGACAACTGGCGCAGAGTGTCTCCGCCAGTTGAACTTCCTCGTCTCCATGACGGGTCGAAGGAGGGGTGAACATGGTCCGAGGTCATATGGTCCCGCGGGCTGCGGCGACGCTGCGCGATCCCACGTGAGAGCCACCGTGGGAAGCCGTCTGCTTGCTTCGGGAGACTAGAGCCCCAAAGCCGAGCGGGGGAAAGCAGGAGGAGGAGCAGTGAGAGTGCGAGTGATTGAAGGCGAGAATGAGGCTAAACTAGCGGTTGCTGCATGTCGTTTCCGAGGAGGGATCCGTGCCAGTCTCACAGACTCTCTACAGCAGTGAGATGGCGTGGGTAAGACGCCGAAGATGAGTCTTGAGGGGGATCGCAGATGGACCTGCGGACAGCCTCGGACGAAAAGAGGTTGTAGATGTATTGATCGGATCCAAAGAGAAATGAGTGTGCTACCACCTACGGAGTCGACTGACGATTTGATATCGCTGAGAACGATAATATGGAGCGTCAAACCTTGGCAGCGCCGAGCATGTCTTTGTTAACTTTGGCTTGGCCTACCCAATTGCTACGGCCAACCCCGACTCTGTGTCACCTCACTGAAGAAGGGATACGGGAGGTGGGAAAGCGGGTTTTCTGGGGTGATGATGCCCACCTCACGCACTATCTGTACAACTGCCATCTCCCATCCACGATTCCACGCCGGGGCCCCCCCATGCTCGCTGCGCAATGCGCGCTGCGCGCTGCAGACTTGATAGGGGGCACGGGCTATGTCAGCGCACTGCCAAGTAGACCATCTGCAGTGACGTCGCCCAGGGCCTTTGTCTTTTGCTGGTTGGTTTGACGCAAGGCACGCAGGTAAAGCTGGCCAGGAGCATTCTGGAAGCCAGAAAGTCCTTGCAAAGAGACCCGGCGAACCCCCCGCCAGGAGGACCACTGGAAACACTGGAGCGTTGTGCGACAGTCCAACAACAGGCCGCTGAAGAGCCGGGATTTCGCTGTTTTCGGTAACAGGACGGCAGCGGGACACCGAGGAAGAGACAAGGGCATCGTCATCTATCAAATCGGTTCGGACCAAAAGTGCCGCAAACACTCCGTTGAAGGCTTTCTCATCAGTTGCCAAATTGTCCAGTTCACGGCCACTCGGTTCATCCTGAAAAAAGGGGACAATGATGGAGTTTTCCAGGCTCAAACAGCACCGGTAACAGAGAGCTCCCGGCACGAATACGCCACGCACGCGTAGGGGACTACGGTTCCTCCCTCTGCGCAGGGTGCTGCCGGCTTGGCGCTTCATCTGATAGATGAGGCTTCAGCGTTCTCGTAGCCAGTCGACGAGCTTCTATCCTTGCTCAACTGTTGACCATGTTCCCCTCCGTGCCAAGGATCAAGACTCGAGGAATTCTTGTTGATCCTTATCCGCTGTCACAGAGCTCTTATCGCTCCCTGCTTTTTGGCGTCACTGCTCCTTTCTCGGTTGCATTCAGTCGGGGTAAATATGGGCATCTTCCTAGGGACCGTTGCTTATATGATGCAGGAAATACTGGGGAAGGTCTCCAGCGGCCATGGGAAAACTTCGCAAGCACAGGTCCAGAAATAGCGCCGGCGAAACATTCTCAACTCTCGGGTGCCCATTCTTGTCGTATTCCGACTCGGTGCCGAGTCGTGTCCGGGTTAGGTAAGCCTGCACCTCGAAAAATGTAAGAATCGAGGAATCGAAGCCAGCTGACTTGTCTCGTGATACAGCTGGTAAGACGGGACTGCTTCGAACAATATAAGATGGCATCAGGCTGTCTTACACATGGCGTCTTCTGTCTCTATTTGACGAACGTCTCCCAGTGGCGGGTTCTGCCGTAGAGGCACCCACTCCGCATGTGGTGTTCAACCACAGCGTCCAAAAATAGCATCACCCTTCGCCCGGAGGGTGTTTGGCGTCTCGCTGTGGTTGGTCGTTGGGAAGAACTTGAAGGTTCGAAGCAACCACGACGATATATATTGCGCATCCGCATTCGGACATTCTGCAACTTCGGCGAGTCGCTGGGCTTTCTTGGTGTTGGAAGAGGAGGACTGTTGGAACAGAGTTGTGTCGCGCGGTTGAGGCATCCACCTCACTGGTACTCTGTGGACGTGGTAGAGTTATGTCGAGATGAGACTGGTGGCTGCCAAAAGACACTTGATTAACGCCTTCGGGGCTCAACTTGACACAGTTGACAGTAGGCTCTCTCCCTGCATATCGTGATTCGCAGGTTGCCACTCAGGTTCCGCATCCCTGTTTCAATGTCTTCCCCAGCAGCGTCAAAGCTGCACCAGTCAGAGAACGAGTCTACCATTCTCTGTTGGTTCTTAGCGGATAGCCAGCCGCCACCAGTTTGATGTTATGTCTGAAGTAGACACTCAAGACTCACGATGGCCACATAGTGAAGAGGCAAGGAGAAGCCAAGATAAGCTTAGACAGAGTAAGCCCAATGAAGTGGTAGAGAGTCTGCTGCTGTTACATTGTTTCAAGACTCAGCCTCATGTTGTCAGCTTCCAACTGACCTGTCGAAGCCTTGTGTCCCTGAGGCAAGGCCTCTAGGTATCTCTGACCTTCCTCTAGTTAGCAAGACGTGCTCCTACTGTCGAGATGTCAACGTCCTTTACGAAGGAATATAGGGCATATAATAATTTTTTATATAAAAGACTTTAGCATATAGGAGCTTATCTATTTGATATCTTCACATTATATAAATACTTAATTTATTATAATATTCTAAATAGCTATTTTTATTTTATTAAAATAGTTTTTTGTATTTTAATTATTAATAAAAAATTAAAAAAATATTAACATGTAGGTTTTTTTAATTAAAAAAACCTCTTATTATATTATTGGTATTTTTCATTCAATATATTATGGTCTTTTTAATAATTTATAAAACTATATTTTCAAATAAAAGAAGAAGAAAGTTTATTTAATAAAATACCGTTATCATAATTATTAGATCCTCTTTATTATAAAATTTTAGGTTAATATAAAACATAAAGTATTCTAACTCAATTTTGTATTTTTAAATTATTAAAAATAATATATATTAACTATTTATTAATATATTGATTGTTTTAATTATGAATATTTTAGTATAAAATATAACGTGGTTCATCAGTCAGCCGGCCGGACTAGTCAGCCGGACGTTTTTTCCCACGTCCACAACAACATCTAGTATTTCTCAACTACAATGCATTAAATTAATTATTGGTTGTCGCTATTAGAATCTCCTGATGATTCGACATCTTTGGAACAAGTTCGTATATTATGCCCAGTCTTACCATACGCACCATAGCGTCTCCGAGTTGGCTGGGCTCTCTTTGATGGACCCCCCTCCTCATCCTCTCGAGGTGCTGGACGTTTACCTTTTTGTTTCTCTTCTAGTAAACCTTGAGATTCCTCTATATTAAGTGCCCCTCTAAGCTACATACGCGACCTTTTAGCCCTCCGACGCTTAGCAAGTGCTATATCCGTATCCTCAAGGGTACGAAGCCGATTAGTTAAAATAGTGATTAAGTGTGTTATTGCCTGCGTACCCTTTGATAATTGCTTAACTGTAGTAATAATTGGTGTCGGTGAGCTTCCTTTATGAGCAGAGATCCGGCTTTTAATAAAGTTGGACTGCGAGACGGCTTGTTGTGGGTTAGAGAGCGTTTGCGACTGCCAAGGTGGTGGTGTTGAAGGGTTGGCTATAGGAGGTGAAGGCGTCCGTAAATGCATATTAAGCTTTTTGATGACATAGTCTGGGTCCCATGGTGAAATTCCAGCGCCTTGGAAAGCAGACCTGATGTTTTCCTCATTAAAAACCTTATTGTGGGCCTGGTGGAAGGCAATAAAGAACTCAGGCTTAGTAATGTGATTTATGGAGGCTCTGATTAATAGGTTGATTTCATCATCGTATGCGCGTTTTAAAGGCGAATAAAGCGCAATATCCAATAGCTATAATAGATGCGACGAATGTGCAGGTATACTGACCGTTATAATATTGTTCTGTTTGCAGTAATCGTCGAATTCGGCCGATAAATGGCTCTCATGGCCGTCGATAATGAGCATCCGGTAGACGCCCTTAGCTCGGTTCTTAGTATGTTTGTCGAAGTGTTTAATCCAGTCAAGACCCGTCTGATTATCCGTCCATCCATTAGCAGTGGGCTTGATGACCCAGTTGCCCGGAAAACCTGATTCCGTGGTCCAACTGGCAAGGTGATATGCGCCCTTGACGATCACGAACGGAGGGATGCACCACCCGCCCGAATTGATATATTTAATGACTATAGCCCATTCACGGTTATCCGGCTGGACAGACTTTGCTTTGTTGCGTCGATCGGCGCGTGTTACTACTATTGACGCGGTGATTATGCCCATCATGAAGCTAGTCTCGTCGAAATTGTATAGGTCCTCCTCTTGGATTCTATACTTCGTCATCATGTTGCGTAACAATACAAACCACTTTGAAATAACCTCTGGGTCTTCTTGAAGAGCCCTTTGATAATCGTATGGACGATTAAACTTTGTTTTTAGAGCAGGCTGTGAGTCCACAAACCGCCTGGCCTATCGCTTGCCAATAGGCTCGGCATTACGCGCTCGCAGCAGGAGATTAGCCATATCTTCCATACCGCCAAGGCGTAAAGGAAATCCTCTGGAATCCTGTTTAATAACGTATTGGAGAAGTGTTTTCTCTTCGATCGGATCGAGTTTATGTTATTAGGGTTGAGTTTGTTCGCGTCGCGGTCAGTTGTTTATTCTATTGGCTAAGGTGCTCTTCGGGATACCGTAGGTCTTTGCGGTACGCGAAATGCTCAAGTTACTACCTGTAGCGCGTGTCGATCGGATCGTTTTAATCGCAAGAATGACTTTGTCTTCTTAGGTGTAGATTGGCATTATGGTTGTTGAGATTTTACGCGTCAAAGGTTTAAGTAGTTTGGACATAAGTGTGTTTAGAAAAAAACGTCCGGCTGACTGGTCCGGCCGGCTGACTGATGAACCACGTTAATTTACTTTAATATTATATAAAATAGTAAAATAAGTGATTTAATAATCTTAAGTATATTTATAATTCCTTAAACTAAATACTTGATATTATATAAAATATTATTTATCTAAGTTTTTTTTTAAAAATTATTAAAGTTAAGTTGATTATAAATCTAAGAAAATAAAAAGCTTTTTTAATTATCCTGAAATTTTAAAGTTTATCTTAAAAATTTTTATTTAATAGTAATTAATAGATAAGTTATTATAATAATATAATTATCTAATATATAATTTTAACAGTTTTTTAAGAGAGTTTTTGAAGAAAAAATTGATTTTTTTTTGCCCCTTTATCAGAGGCACGGAGGCGCAGAGTCGAGATGTCAACGGTAGAGCTAGCGGCTAAGAGGGTGTAGCTATGGTTGCAGTGGGATGCATGTTGGTTGCCATTGATGCAGTGTTGTTGTTGTTGGTGGTGTTGTGAGCCTGGAGTGTATTGCAGAGCACCTCAGAAGAATGGAACATCCACTTTCATGACCTTTGATCGTTGGCCCAAATTCTTTTGCGCACTCCCAAGTCCTAATAAAAAGGACTTGGAATGTGCAGGTCGTCACGCCTTGTTGATAGAAAGGGGGGTGGGTCCCTGGTCCGTTTGAATATGTTTGCCTACGGAAAGAAACTCCAAGGGCCCATGGAACGGAAGATCTAGGCAAGGTCAGCTCGGGTTGGTCGGGTACCTTCCGATAAGGTGCCAACGCCGATGGATAGCGCCAAATCAGTGGGTAGGAACAGGGGAGCAGGAGGGGATGGGGGGCAGAATAAGCAGGCAGACAAGAAATGCACCTACTCCGTACTCCCTACACCATTCACCACCCATCCACTGATGCAAAGATACAAAAAGATACTCAGGTGGGCTAACTTCAGGTGGTCCAGTAGCGTCGCTCCGCCACATGTTGCTTGCGTTCGCACTGCGCAGCAGCATGTCCAAGTCCCCCAAGTTGACAAGTCCCAGCCTAGAGGACCAAAGACCAATAGAGACAAAGTCTGTGATCCCCACTCGGCTCATACTGTTGTGCTTCCTGCACCTGTTGTCTTTGCGTTTGCCTCTAACGCCTTCTCCTGATTCTGCTTCTGCTTTTGCTTCTGCTTCTCCGGCTACTGCACTGCGCTGCCTTCCTCCTTCGTCTCAACAACGGCCCTTTTCCAAAACTCCAGACGATTCATCATGTCAACTTCCTTCCGCCTTTCGCTCTCTTAGCCTCGAAGCGACAGCAACTTCGCCGCAAGCAAGCAATCGAGCTGCCTTTGGTCCATGATGGACAGCAGCACTGACGCTGGCCGACATGGGGAAGTGGGATCACGGTCGTCCATTGACAAACCCCCCATCCTGGCCCCGGATCCCGCTTTTGATCGCCTCCCGGACGAGATTATCCAACAGTATGGCTGTGTCCCTGCCATCTCTATATCTT